CAATGTGAATGTACCTAATGCCACTGAACTGTACACTTAAAAATGGTTAACATAGTAAATTTCATGTTATGTGCGATTTGCTACAATTAAAACAATTTTTTTAAACAAGATTGCTTTGCTTTCAACAAGGGAATTAACCCCAAAAATTTAATGCTAACAGAAAGGATTCTAGAAAGACCAATGAAAACAGAGGAGAAAAAAAATTACATGACTGATGGTATGATGTTCCTGAGATGGCAGCAGGGGATGGTATCCAATGCACAAATAGAGGGATTAGTTCTGTGATCTCTTCCAATAAAGATATTATAGTGAGTATAGTAACAGGAGTAAATTATTTATTTCTGAAATACCACTAAACATTCCCATATAGGTTTGTGACTAGAATGTGGAAAGCTGTAATCACTCCCTCTCTACCACTGAGAAAAAGCTGGACAAGATGCCAATTCTCCCCAAATTGATCTCTATAGATCCAATGCAGTCCCAATCAGAGACCCTCAAGCTCTTTTGAGGAAACTGACAGGCTGATTCTAAAACTGATATGGAAAGCTAAAGGACTCAGAATAATTAAAACAACTTTGAAAATGAATATAGTTGAAGAATTTTGCATTATATGGTTTCAGGACTTTCTATAATGCTATGGTAATCAAGACTGTGCTATAATGGCAAAATGACAGGCTTAAATCTATGGAACAGAATAGTGCCAGAAACAGCCACTCAGTTATGGTAAACTGATTTTCAACAAAGGTGCCAAGGTAATTCAATGAAGAAAGGATAATATTTTCAACAAATGCTGTAGCAATTAAACATCCTTTGAAAGAAGATGAACCTCAACTCACATCTCATACAATATGTAAAAATTAATTCACGATAGGCCACAGACCTAAATGTACAACTTAAAACTATACAACTTCTAGAAGACAACAACAACAACAAAATCTTTGTGAGCTTAGGTTGGGTAGTGACTTCCTAGACAGCAAAGAAAAAACACCTATCCATAACGAAAAAAATTAAAACTTTTATTCTTCAAAGAATTGCTAAAAAAAGAGAAATAACACTGGGATAAAATACACATACATGATAAATAACTTGTATCTAGAATTCTAAAGAACTCTCAAAGCTTAACAAGAAAGCAAACAACGCAATTTAAAACATGGAAAAAACAGACACTTCACCAAAGAAGAGCTATGGTTAGCAAATGAACACATGAAAAAATGCTCAACATCAAAAGACAATGAAAAAAATAGTAATTAAAACCACAATAAAATACTACTACACACTAACAACAACAAAAATAAAACAAAACCTGACAATAGTAGTTACTACCAAAGATACAGAGCATAGCTGGTGATAACAGAAAATGGTGTAAACATGTTGGAAAACAGTTTGATAATTTCTTATAAGTTAAACATCAATTTACCACATGGTCCAGCAATATCAATCTTAGATACTAAACCAAAAGAAAATGTACACCTAAAAATCTGTAAGTGAATGTTTCTAGAAGTTTTATTCGTAACAACCAAACCTGAAAACAAATGTTTACCAACTGGTGAATGAACAAACAAATTATAGTCGATCCACATAGTGGAATATTATTAAGCACTGATAAGAAACAAACTACAAACAAACCTAACAAATTGAATAAATCTCAAAATCATGCTAAGTGAAATAAGCTAGAGACAAAAGGCTATATACTGTATACTTCTGTTTATATGACATCTGGAAAAACTAAAGTATAAATTTAAAAATTTAAAACAATTTTTAAAAATTTAAAGTTTTAAAAACAATTGCCAATGCAATTGCACTGCATAAGAATGTTTTGGTTAAGGATGAACTGCCTATGAGATAGTGGTCCTATAAGATGATAATCGAGCATATACAGAAACCTCATATAGGGCATTTGATATTAGCACTGCAGATCAAGTGGGAGAAATCAATGATAATAAAGCGGAGCGACATCTGGTTTTCTATACGAAAAAAATACACACACATACACACACACCCCATCTACGTTCATGTAGGTAGAGTCTGTATTCGCTCAACGCTCAAACTGCTTAACAAAGCATTTCTCAGAATTTATCCCCATTGCTAAGTGACTCACGACTACAGCTGCAAACATTTATACAGCATTTTACTATGATTATCCTCACAATACTCCATGAAGCAGACATTAGTTTTATATCCTTTCTACAGGTAAGAAAATGGAGGTTCAGAGATTGTCCAATTTACTGAAAGTAATAGAGTGAGGACATGTGCTGACATTTGTAACTTGGTGTCTCTTCAAATTTCACACTTTTCCCCCCTGCTATACCAATAACTCAATTACCTCTTATCCTTAGCTTCTGTAATACTTGCTTGGTTCAGGCCTCTGTTACACAATATAAAGTGATTTTTTTCTAATAATCTTTTAGATTATAAATGAGAAATGGAAAGATCTTATTAATTTTTTATGTCTACATTGTTTAAGTGTTCAGAACATAGTGGACCTTCAACTGTTTGTAAATGAATAAAGAATTACTTGAATTTCCTGAAAGGATAATTAAAAATAACACTGAATTTAAAAATAGCAAATACTCCAGAGGTAACTTATTTCACGTTAGAAAACATTATACTTCACTTTCACATACATAGCACCATAAGTAAACTGTGTCAAAGGTATAGACTTACGCCTTAACATCCATGTTTGGAAAAGTATGTAATATCTTGTCCTTTTTCACAATTATGAGGATGAAGATAATGAACTTTGTATATGGTAAAGTATAATTATCATATCTAAGTATTATTATCCCTATCAGGCTGTTGAAAGTAACAGAGAACACTTTCTTTTCTCAAAATCTTCATCTACATAAAAAAATATTTTAAAATCTCTTTCCTTTCATTAATGGGGATTAATGCTTTATAGCAATGCTTCTAAAGCTTTACTGCTAAGAACAAAATCAGAAGACTCGGGAGTTCCATCCTTTGATGATGGTATTACAGTCTAATGCAGTTAAGGAATTACTGGTTCTGGAGGTAGAGAGACAGATGACAAAAAGAAATAGAAAATGCATAAGAAAGAAAATTCAGTTCACGAAAAGCACAGCCTTTGAAGTAGATAGTTAAAACTTACTTTTACTGCTAATAATTGGTATTCATATAAAAAAATAATCTGAAAGGAAGTTTTTTTTTTTTTTTTTTTTTTTTCCCCCAAAGCCCATATACATACACTACTTGGTCCCTAGAAACAAAGTATTTGAAAAGTAGTTAATATGAGAAACTGGCTTGAAGCTATCATATTCAGGACAAATTTAAGTATCTTCTTATACTCAAAGATTATTAAGTGGATTAAGTGGTTTCAACTACATAAAGACTGTCCTGGGACTTCTTTGGATATGCTTATATTTTCAAGAATTTGTTAAAATAGTTACTTATGTCCTTAAACATGTAGGAATAAGAAAAAATGAAAGTGGTTGCTTACAACTTGTAGTTTTGCAAGACGAATGTCAGGATCCTATTTGGTTAAGCGTTGTACACTTTGTCCCCTGCATAACATCAAATAAAATCAAGTAATTGCTTATTTCCTTTGATAATTTTATGTTTGTGTTCAATAAAGGCAGTTAGGTATTATGTCAAATAAAATTAGGAGTTAACTGTTTCACCAAGGGTTAAAAACAAAGGTACCAATTTAAGCCCCTAAAAAGTTACAATACCCGCTAGTTCCAACCTAAAATCAGCAATTTTCTTTTCTTTTTCTTTTTTTTTTTTTTTTGAGACGGAGTTTCGCTCTTGTTACCCAGGCTGGAGTGCAATGGCGTGATCTCGACTCACCGCAACCTCCGCCTTCCGGGTTCAGGCAATTCTCCTGCCTCAGCCTCCGGAGTAGCTGGGATTACAGGCACGCACCACCATGCTCAGCTAATTTTTTGCACCTTTAGTAGAGACGGGGTTTCACCATGTTGACCAGGATGGTCTCGATCTCTTGACCTCGTGATCCACCCGCCTCGGCCTCCCAAAGTGCTAGGATTACAGGCTTGAGCCACCGCGCCCGGCCTTTGCAATTTTCAATTAACACGTTAATTTGGAGCGGAATTCTGACATTTGAATTATTCTATTTTAAGATCCAAAAAATGGACACGCACAATTTTAGGCAACGTCAAGGACTTGGATATTCAAATACACGTTTCTACAATCTGCTTCACTTGCGAGTATAAATTCATTTAACTATGAGTATCTTCACAGTAAAAATATCTTCATCGCCATATGCATTCACCTGAAGCCACATGGGATAAATGCATTTCCACTTTAAAAAGTATCTATTTTGGTTCAGAAATGCCCATTTAAAAAAAACCCACACTAAGATAAAGTGTACATTTTCCTTTTAAAGTTACGTGACAGGATACCCTCTTGAGCTCACGTTTCTCCCGCCACGTGTTTAAATCTGGAGCAAAATTTCAGATTCAATGACTGATCAAAGTAATGGGGAGAATTCTTCAACGCCAGCCAAATGTGCTTGGAGTTTCAAAAGATACTGAAGTGTGAGGGAGCATTTCCTAAGCGTTTCGGCGCTTCGTTAACTCTTAAGGACAAGGTCCAGCTACACTAAGAATCAGCAGGAAAATGACCACTTGGTAAAACTCAATTACACCCAGCAGCCACCTCCCCAGGCCCGAAGCAGCACTCGCCCTTTCTGCTCAGCTCGCGCGGGACGTCACAACGCCCAAGGCCCTCCCGCCTCAAAGGCGCCTGCGCAAAATCTCCCCACAGACTCAATTAAATCCTTCCTTAGGCCGACAGAGGCGAATGGTTTTGAAATTACTGTCAGGTTATGCCTCACTTAAAAAAAACAGTAGGTATGACACAGCACACCAGAATGACCACTCACCGAGGTGGTCCTAAATTCAAACGACAGGGTTTAAGCTTCCTCTCGAGATTTATCTGGCGCTGCCGGAAGCGGAACTACCCGGCTCCTTAAGAGAATAGTCCTTTTGGGAGCCTTAGAAACCACGGTCAGAAAGGTTAGGGCGGATCGTTTGGCTCTTGCCGGAAATTGTTCCGCCCGGTGAGGTTTCGGCGTGAGACCCGAGGAGGGCGGGGAAGAGGCGTGACGGAGATTCCCGAGGTGTAGTAGCTCGAGGTGCCCTTATGTGGCCCTAGAGCTGCTGCTGAAGGAAGCAGCCTGCGTCCACGCCCACAACTGAAGTCTCAGGACTCACACCTCACCCTTGCCTCCGGCATGAAAGGGGGGAACCTAGACCTGAATGGGCTTGACCGTCTCCCAGCTGCTCGCGTGACGACCGCATTCGTGGCAGGTGAGGGCCCCGAAACCGGAGGAGAACCGGAGATGCGGAATCTGATCATGCCGAGGTTGAGGCGGCTGCTGGGCTTCTGCTTTGTCTCCCGTGCTCTGCACACCCTAGACACGCGCTCCACCAAGGGCCATGTGCCGGAGCGAATGACAGCATGGGCGTGGAGTGACAGTATAGCCTTGAGGGTCCTTTCGCTCCCTGATTTATCCTCCTGCTCCCCCATGGCGTCCCTTTTTCATTTCTTGGGTTTGAGACGCCAGAAATTGCAGCTCAGCTAAAAGGGAACTGCCGAGCTTCTACCCCACGCGGTGTCTGGCTCCACCGAAGTGATTAATCTCGAGCTGTGGGACTGCTGTGGGTAGACGTGGCTGTTCAAAAAATTTTTTTCCTTAGTCTTTATCCCTCTCTGTCAACCCCATACCCACTTAAAAAGAACAAAAGCCTCGTGTGTTGCAGCTTTTCTTAGTAGGGACCGAGGCTGCAGGTCACTGCTGCACCTCCAACTGGAGGGCGTTGCAGCCTTGTGCGCCTTGAAGGAGAAGGGGCCAGGGTGATGATCCCTGAATGGATCTCATTCACGAGGTTCTTGACCACTTCCTGGGAGTTTGCGACTCGGAGTTCTTTGGATAGTAACTGTCTTGCTGGAAGGCTTAACTATGGAAGTGGGAAGCATAGCTGATCTTAGCATGTAACATCCTCGCTGTACACTGGGACGGGATTTTGTTTTGGTGTTAGTAAATATTTTTTGTCTCAGATATATAAAATAATAACGATAGTTGCCATTAACAGAGTTTTATGTGTGCCAAATGCTTTACATATTTTGTCATTCATTCCTCTAAACAATTCCGGGAGGTATGCTAGATTATTATCACCATTTTACAGAGTTAGAAATCGAGGCTTTGAGCAGTCAGCAACTTGCCCTAGTAAACATTTGTTGTAAGTAAACGTTTGAAACTGTGTTAAAAACCAGATCTCTCTGCTTTCAAAATCTGTATTCTATTGTCCCGACCTTGTTCTTCCTCGATTTCAATTTCTTCACTAACATTTTCAGTGTCTGAAAGCATTCATTTATTTTAAAAAATTTCTTGTACCTACTTACATGTCTGAAAAAAGATAGACATGATCTATGTCTATGGAGCATTGTGATGCAGAATTAAGTAGTTCCAAACCCAAAATACTGTACTTACTGCAGCACAGGTTTATGTAAAGCAAATGACTAAACTGATGCACAGAAATTTTTAAAATCAAAGATTGCTGTTTAAATTTTAAATTCATATGACTTTCAGAGTAGTGGTTATGAGGTAGAACATCTGTTGATTACCCAAGTAAATGCTATGCACCCAGTTAAGTAGTGGGAACACAGATTACGTCCTTGTTCTCTAAAAGCGTCCACGCAACTGCAATATAAACAATGTTATGGAACAATTAATATTCTCATGTGAAAAAGGAATTGTGGTTATGTAGGACGATGTTCTTATTTTTTTGGAGATGCATACTAAAGTACTCGAGGTGAGGTATGTTAATACCTAGTACTTTCAAATGGTACAGCAAATGTGTGTGTGTGTGTGTGTGTGTGTGTGTGTGTGTGTGTGTGTATTAAAAAGCAAGCAAGCAAATATGGCAAAATATTGGCAATTGTGAGTATAATGGTGGGTATATGGATGATTAATACACTGTTCTTTCAACTTTTCTGAGTATTTCAAATTTTTCATAATAAAAAGTTGGAGAGGAAAATACACAACTCTGATGGAAACAGATAAGTGAAAAGATCTAAAATGCCACGGAACATAGAAGATAGGAGAGAGTTTTTAGGTGTATTAACATAAAACAGAGATGTGATAGTTCTTAGGAAAACCTTCACTGAACAGCTTTCAGTTGGTTTTTGAAGAGGGGATAGGAACTTTCAAGGAGAGCAGTGATTTCTGGGCAGAAGGAAATGCAGGTTCAGCAAAAAGGTATTAAATTACAGTTTGAAGAAGGAAAGCTGGAAAATGCTTTTGAAATTTCAGGAAAACTGGTTATGTATTTGCATTAAGACTGAGCAGCAGGAGCAGGAGCTCCCATTTCCTCTGATTTTGAGAGCAGAAATCTACTAGTTTATAGTTGGGCTCCTGAGGGAACCTATGAAAAAGGCTACAATGATGGCTTGGAAATATTAAGCTCTGGTAAGGAGGGGTCTGAATACTAGGTGGAACTGATGGCTGATCCAGGATGTTATTTTGAGGATCAGGTAGCTCTGGCCACTACCAGTAAAGGTATGAAAGAGACGACTGATTATCCCAGGTAGTAGTGTTCATGATAGTCTTAAGCAGTATGGTTAAGACTAGAAAAGATGTGAAGAGGTCTTCAACAACAGCAGTAGCAAAGGATTTCTGTGGCTTCATTAGACAAGAGGTAAGTAGATATATTCTAAATTGAGTTATTTATATTTGTTACTTACCAGTTAAATCTGTTAGAAAACTGTCATAACAGTATTTAACAAAATATTAAATAGCTGACATTTACTGAGTGCTTAATATGTGCTATTTGCTGTAGTGTCTGTATTGTAATTTAATTGTCAAGACAATATATAAGATTCATAATTCCATTTTATAGATGATTACTAGAGAGGTTCAATACCTTGACTAAAGACACAGAGCTGAGCAACTTTCAGAAAAAGTTTTCAAAATCAGAGTTTTGTGTCTAGAGCAATTGTTCTTATAGTGTGATTCCAAGATGTGCAACATCAGCATCACCTTGGAACTTTTGGAAAAGCAAAATATTGTCCCCCCACCCCTAGAGTTTTTAGTTTAGTATTTTAACAAGCTCTACAGGTGATTCTGTTGCATGCTAATGTTTGAGAACTACTGCATTGAGTGTGGACATTTTTAGTAGCGTTAACACTCATTTCAGATTTCGAAATCAGGTTTAAGGGGTATTTGTCTTTTGTACAGATAGATTCCCAAACCTGGCTGCTCATCCATTTGTAAAAATATAGTTTTTCTAGTTAAGAATTACTGTTTAGGAATTTCTAATCTATGATAAGCCCAGTCACTTGTGTTTTAACAAGTCTATCAGATAATTCTCATGTAACCAGTCCAGTTTGGAACTGCTGCTATAGAAAGAATTTTAAAATTAAAGTAGGTTCAACACTGATATTTGAATAATGTATGTGTCTTTACGCCTAGACAGTTAAACATATGTTGAAATTAATGACTGACCATTGATCAAAATGCTGAATAATGTGGAAGTACTGTAAGCCTAAACTCTACTTGGTTCAATTATCAGCGTTTTAAGTGAAATAACACATATCATTTTGAATGTCTTGTGTGACTTATAATGCTTATAAAATTTCATCTTGTTCTATGGTATATATGCTACTTCGGTGAGAGAAATATATTTGAATTTATGTTTTTAGTTTTCTGGTAATTTATATTTGCAATGCTGTCATAAGGACTATGGAGTCCTGATTTTTGCTCTTAAGTGAGTATAGTGGCCTTCGGTTTAAACAGACCTGGGTTTGATTTTCATTTGCAATCCTAATTGGTTGTGTGATGATGATCAAATTACCTAAACTTTCTTAACCTCAAGTCTTAATTTATAATGACAAAAGAAATACGTAACTACATACGTAAAGCATTTATAAAATGAAGATATTCCTAATTCCAGGATGGATGTGAGATTGTTAAGTCACAAAGTAGTAACTAATTTCTTCCCAACTCTTTTCATGATAAGGCATACATGGAAAATGGTACTATTTGTACAGTGTCCTGGGGAAACTGAAGAGAGTGCTACTGGAAGCAGTTGGCCAGGGAATAACAGCTGCCTTGAAGGCTGAGTCAATTAATTTATTGGCATACTTATAGTTAATTCATGGTGAGGCAACAGGGTAGGAGGCTCTGAATTTACAAATATGGTACTTAATAGGTAACAGTGCCTAATAAATGTTCATTCCCTTGATATTTATGTTTTGGAGGGATATACATAACCTAAGCTGTTAAATAATGTTATAGGTGACCAAAGGTCAAAATGAATGATTCAGAGAAGAAGTCTTGTAAATTGTTAAGGGAAATTTTGTAGAGGAATGTCTATTGGGTACTTGAGATGTGCCAAGCACCAGGAAGACAAAAATTCTGCTTCATCAGTTTTATCTCCTTTTTATTACAGGAAATCTCCAATAATACTCATTTTCAAAAACTGGTTCTCAAACTTTGCTACCCGTTGGAATTACCTGGCAAGCCTTAAACTTACCTGAACTCTACTCTCAATCATTTTGATTTAAGTTGTGTGGAGTATAGCCTAGACCTTGGGATACAAGCACTGTTAGTATATTATCTTATATATAAAAGTATTAAAATGAGCTATATGTACAATTTACAAATAAGAAAATTGAGGCCCTAAGAAGTTAACTTACTTGCTCAAGATCAGCTAATTGGAGTCAGTTGGATTTAAACCTAGGTATTTTAGCCCCTGAATCCATGCTCTTAACCACTAGCCTGTTAATTTTTTTTTTTTTTTTTTTTTTTTTTTTTTTTTTTTTTTTGAGACGGAGTTTCGCTCTTGTTACCCAGGCTGGAGTGCAATGGCGCGATCTCGGCTCACCGCAACCTCCGCCTCCCGGGTTCAGGCAATTCTCCTGCCTCAGCCTCCTGAGTAGCTGGGAGTACAGGCACGTGCCACCATGTCCAGCTAATTTTTTGTATTTTTAGTAGAGACGGGGTTTCACCATGTTGACCAGGATGGTCTTGATCTCTTGACCTCGTGATCCACCCGCCTCGGCTTCCCAAAGTGCTGGGATTACAGACTTGAGCCTTTTTTAAAATAACATCTGTTATTCCATCATATATTAAGATGGAATAATGGAAAATAAAAAGAAAGGCTTCCTTCACTTTATGTCCTTTAGAGATCCATTTCTCTGTCCATCTTTTATAAACTCTTCAAAATAACTATCTGTATGACTTCTCTGTGTTTCATCCCCTCTTACTTTCTTTTTGTTTGTTTTGTTTTTTGAGATGAGTCTCATTCTGTTGCCCAGGCTGGAGTGCACTGGCAAAATCCCGGCCCATTGCAACCTCTACCTCCCGGGTTCAAGTGATTCTCCTGCCTCAACCTCCTGAGTAGCTGGGATTACAGATGCACATCACCATGCCAGGCTAATTTTTATATTTTTAGCAGAGAAGGGGTTTCATCATGTTGGCCAGGCTGGTCTCAAACTCCTGACCTCAAGTGATTTGCCTGCCTCAGCCTCCCTAAATGCAGTGCAATTACGTTTAACAAATTGGAAGTTCTTATTATGGTTCCTCAGTCCTTTGTGTGCATCTTAACTACTTACCCAACATGATTTTCTACCATTTTTCCTTTGCTTGCCTGTTCTGCTCTAGTTACGTTACTGTTTAATGAACTTAGGAAATATGCCAAGCATACTTCTGGTTTAGAGCCTTTATACTTTCTTACCTGGAGTGTTCCCACCATATAACCCCATGGTTGGTTTCTCATTTAATTTAAATTCATATTTAAATGTCACCTTATTAAAGAGATCTTCCAACATGTATTTATTTGTTGATTTACCTAGTGCCTACCAAACGAATGAATGAGACGTGTTTCAGACCTAAAGTCATAATCATATAAGGGACATATATCTATATACTTCATGCTGCATTAAAGACTTAAATAGAATGTAAGTGAACAAAACAGGATAGATCAGTCATTAATTTATACCCTTAGGAAAAAAAGCTATTGGATACATACGTTTTTCCCCAAAAGTTGATTTCTACTTACACGTAAACATATTTTGTAAAGTATTTCAAAAATGTGGGAAAATATATATTGAAAATACTATGTATTAGAGCTCTCTAGAGGGACAGAACTAATAGGATAGATATATCTATAAAGGTGTGTTTACTAAGTAGTATTAAGTCACACAATCACAACATCCTGCAATAGGCCATCTGCAAGCTGAGGAACAAGGAAACCAGTTCAAGTCCCAAAGCTGAAGAACTTGGAATCTGATATTTGAGGGCAGGAAGCATCCAGCACAGGAGAAAGATGCAGCCTGGGAGGCTAAGCCAGTCTAGCCTTTTCACATTTTTTTGTTTTTGTTTTGTTTTGTTTTTAAATCCGCCTGCTTTATATTCTAGCTGTGCTGGCTACTGATTAAATGGTGTCCACCCAGATTAAGGGTGGGTCTGCCTTTCTCAGACCACTGACCTAAATATTATCCTCCTTTGGCAGCACCCTCATAGATACACCCAGGATCAATAGTTTGCATCCTTCAATCCAATCAAGTTGACACTGAGTATTAACCATCACAGAATAGCAGGAAACATAGCCCCATAGGTCTGCAGAACTACAACTGTTAGTTCTGCCATTGTGTCAAGGCTCATTAACTGATTTGTTAAATTTTATTTTTATGTATTCCAGACTTTTTACAATGAATACTCTATAATTAAGAAGCTAAAAAATTAATTTTCAGCTTTACCTCTACAACAGATTGTTTTCACTTTTGTTTTAAGACTTTAGAAGGAAGTACAATACAATTTTAAAATAAAGCCATAAAGTGTGTATATACACACTCATCTATTCATGTGTATATACATATAAGTATATGCCTATATATTGCATGGACATACTGGACCTGGCATCTCCCATCATTGACCTTCTGAAGTGGATAGTAAGACATTTATTACATTTCATTACATTATTACGTGTTTCTATTATCTTTTTTATTGGTGTGCTTATCACACTAAAATACAAAATGTCAATTTACTTGGCTGCCACTCTCTTAGACCAAAAGCTCCTTAAGGAAAAGAGCCACGTTTACTTTGACTTTATATAACTAACACCTAATACTATGCCTTTTACAATAAGTAAATAGTATTTGTTAAATAAATATGTCCATTTCAACAAATAATGAACAATTCATTCTTTTAGATTTACATGTTAGAGTCAGTAGGGAGTTTGGTTTATAGGAGTATTTTTTGAAACTATGGTTTATTGAGTGTTTAATATATGCCAATCACTGATGCTGTCTCACTTAATCTTTACAGGGTTGCAGGGTGCTACTGTACTTCCTTTTTCTTTTCTTTTCCTTTTTTTTTTTTTTTATCAGCCAGGTATTCACCAGAGATACACTCCCTTTTTTATAGACTAATAGCAACTAGCATACATCACTAGTTAAGCAGTGACAGATTAAAACAGATGTATCTAACCCCAGAATGTTCCCCTTCCACTATTGAAATATTCGAGCTGTTTTTAGATGGAAAGAGTAAAAAAATTAAAAAACCAAGAGATATTTGCCAGAACTGAAATCAACTTATCCACCAACATCAAGTTTTACAGCAACTGGAAACTTTCCATTTTTCTTTTTCAGTAAACATTTTTACATGTTAAACAGTACAGAAGGAATAGGAACAAAAGGCTTTGATTTATAAAGTAAATTATTTCTGCTTTAATTTTTAAATTACAAATTATTTTAAATTTTATAACCCTGTTAATTTAAAGTGAAGGCTGACTGGGTAAATTGGTTTTAATGTCTACTGGGGAGTCACCAGTTATACTGGAATTAGATCTTTAAGAGTAGAACTTTTAAAATTACGCTTTTAATTCTACCTAGCATATTGTTTGACTTTTAAGAATATTCAATCAAGTAATTTCTTATACTACCAGTAATCAAATAAAGCATTTGTTATGTGGCTTTATCTTGGCACATAATTAATTTTAATATGACCAGGAAACAAGTACTTATAAATTACGGAAAGGAATATTTTGAGATGATACTGCTCTTAAATAGTACTCATTTATCTATTTGAGACAGTCTTCCTCTGTTATTCAAGCTGGAGTATAGTAGTAGTCATATTTCACTGCAGCCTCAAGCTATTGGGCTCAAGTGATCCTCCCACCTTAGCCTCCCAAGTAGCTGGGATTACAGGTATGAGCCACTGAGTCCATCCATCATATTCATGTATGCCTGGTTATGTAGAAGAGTTTGAATGTCAGTGAATCACATAAAATTGCTTGCAGAATTTAGCGCACATGTACTTTTTTTTTCTGGGGATAAGATCCATAGATTTTATTAGATTTGTTAAGAGTTTTTGACTTCTATACGTTTAAGAGCTGCTGTTAAAATGAAATCTGTTTAGACTCTAATCTTTTTTTGTTCATTTGTGTATGAGACCAGAATGTAGAATGGTTATGTTCCCTAAAAAACCTGTTTACAGATAACTTTTACAAACTGATTTAATATAATTTCAGATTAATTTTATCAGTGGTTTTTAATGCTGCATTAAATTTTGTCTGTTCTTTTCCACGGAATTCAGATATTTTGGAATTATGTGCTAAGAGATTTAGCTTTAATATAATTGTGTTATAACTTCAGTAATTTTCTGTTAATTGGTTTAGATATTTTTAGATGAGGAATTTAATGTGTAGTCTTTTGTTATTTTGTATGTTTGTCAAATTGCTAAAATGTATATTACTGAAGATAAGTCTTAGTTTCTTAATTTTTTTGTTTTTATTATACGTTTTTTTAATTGGAGAAAATATATTTTCATTTTGACAATATACATTAAGTTATTGGTGCTGATTTTGTGTCATTAAAGTGTCATTTAAAATTATTTTTTGCATGAATGTTTCTAGAGTGTACTCTCCAAAATTAATTTTTTCATTGCATTTTAGGTAAAAAGATTGTTATGTCAACTGAGGAAAGCAATAGTCTCACTGTCTTTATATTTTGAATTACTACAACAACTTTGATATCAACAATGAAGCAATGATATCTAGAAACAAAAGAGCATTTGCCGACAGTCATCATAATTTCAAGTGATTGTACAAGCAGAAACAAGCTGTCACAGACCTGTGTGTCAGCTAATATATGGAGAATGCTTTCTTCTGATGCTATTTATTTAGAGGCAGTTTTAATATAAATCATTTCAATCATACCTATATCAAATAAAATAAAAATGAGTGAAGCCCCCAGATTCTTTGTTGGACCAGAAGATACAGAAATAAATACCGGAAATTATCGGCATTTCTTCCACCATGCAGATGAGGATGATGAAGAGGAAGATGATTCTGTAAGTTGTTTGTTTTTTTCTTTGGTGAGAGAAGACCAATACAGTATAGGCTTTTTACTAATCACTGTTAAGGTGAATTAATCTTAAGACTCTTTTTTCCACATACAAATTTGTTGGAAAATACTTTTTCAGTTTTATGGGTGATGTTGTTGAATCTATGGTGAATCAAGAAATACAGTTATGGGTCAGACCTCAATGTTGTTTAATGATGCCTATTTTAGTTTCTTACAGTGATATGCATAGTGTAACTCAGTGCTAGGTAAAAAAAAGTGGCAAAGAGAAACAGTAATCTTGGCCATAAATCCAAAAGGTTTCTTCTATGTAGAAATATATAATAAATAATTGAAGATAAAGAAGTAGAAGGAAAAAATTTTAAGGTACTAAAGAAGATAGATTACTTAACTAGATTCATTAAGCTTATCATGTTACCAATGTGAGTTCTGGTTACCAATGTGAGTTCTGGTTTAACCAGAATGATTATTATCATGTCAATCAGATATGATTATTATCATATCAATAATAATATGATACTCATATTTATTAACTTACAGAAGTCTGTAAACTGAGTGGCTAGAAGGGTAGGCTACCTAAAGTATGTGTTTGTATGTGTGTCTAAAACTTGTTTTCTTTCTGATATAATGTTATATCCATACTGGATCTTAGGAATGATATACATTTATTATGCTTATTTTGTTTATAGTTACATTAGACCAGTATGTTTCTTACTCATCATTTAATTTTTTAAGTAGAGATTGATTTACTCTGAATACTGATTTAAAACACAGACTTACAATGTGTGTTTGTTTTTCATATATTTCTAATTGGAAAGAGAATTTAGTTTAAGAGAAAAATCTGTTCTGTTTGGTAAGAACAAACCAAAAATAATGACTAGATGACTCTTTAAGCCCTTTTTTTATAATAAAAATATCTTTCACAGTGGAGTTACACATACCTGAAATGCAAACTCTACTGTTAACTCATTTAAAACCTTCAATAAAGAGCACTTTTGCTACCTCCGGACCCTGAAAATCTAGATTTCAGGCAGGCTTCTCTTACCAGCTTAAACTTTTCTTCATCTGAACTTTTATCTAGAAGTCCTATAAGTAAAACATAAAAGCAAAGTGTCTCTGGATCACTTAAACTAGAAAGCACTATTGCCTCAGCCTCTGCTACCTTTATACCCCCTTTTCTACAGTTCTTCTGAACATGGTGTGAACACCACTGGCAGATCACAGCCAGTCTAATTACATGTAAAACTTTCATGTCTCATCTATATCTACATCTAGACCTATCCCATCCTTTCCACCTTTTATGTTTTAGTAACATCAAAATTTTTATTTCTGTATATTTATTGCCATACCATGTGTCTTTACTGTTGTGTGTACTCTTTTATTTTTCTGAAATGACCTTATTTTGGGGTACCTTGTGTATTATTTTTCATTCTTCCAAACTCTCCTCAGATTTCACCTTTTACTCTTTCCACTCTCCTTGCTCTTTTTCCCAACACAAATTGAAATACTTCTTCCTTATTACTGTGTCTTTACATTGGCATATATACAGTTGTCCCTCAATATCCATGGGGGATTGGTTTTAGGACTCCCTGTGGATACCAAAATCTGCAGCTGCTGAAGTCCTTTTTAAAAAATTGTGTGACATATAAGCTGCATCTACCCATATGTTTTAATTCATCTCTAGATACTCGTAATCTCTAATACAATATAAATGCTGTGTAAATAGTTATATCATTTAGAGAATAATGATAAGAAATATAGTCTGTGTATGTTCAGTACAGATACTTTTCTCCCCCAAATATCTTTAATATATGATTATTTGAATCCGTGGATGTCAAACCCATGGATATGGAGAGCCAACTGTACTGCTATTCCATGTATCACAATGTTTTTTGTTATTACTGTGTTCCCTGTTAGACTCGAAGTACTTTGAGGACAGGTACTTCTATATATCTAATCTTTAGCACATAGTATGATGTTAAAATATGATGCACAATTATCACTTTACAGGAGCTTGATTTAGTTCATTTGATCTATAGCTTTATATTTATAAAACAATTTATTCCATATCATTCTCCTGTTTTTAAGGTGTCTCTCCTGTTTTTAAGATTTCAAAGATGTGAATATCATGTTTTTAGACATTAACCCTAATAATGCCTCAGATTTATTTAGAAAATTATCTTCATGATTTTAAAGTTTTACCTAATAAAGAAATTCTATAATTGTGCCTTAAGAATGTAAGGTTATTTATAAATTTTAAACTTGGATGTTTCCCATTCATCGTTTCCCATTCATCTTAGCCAATGAGCAGATATTCATTAAATAGATCTATAATAAGTAAGACTAATATATATTAGCATTTTAAAAAATTGTAGAGCAATGTGAAATGTTAGGTTAGAGTACATTTGTTATCTGGGGAAAATCTACTTTAGGAACATAGTGAAATGTGTCAAAACTTTTGATCAGGAAAGAATTGAATAAGGGAATGTAAAAGTAGATGGTCAGAAAGGTAAATACAGAAGACTCCAGAAAGGTCAGCATTTATAATCTGTTTGATTTACCAATTAAATCTAGTACCGATTGGAACTCTACATTTCATGAGTTTGAGGAAACAATACAGAAATATTGTTCTAGGCATAAAAAAAGAACAATTTAATTCTGATGTTATTTAATTTTATTTTTAGATATATTAAGAAAAGCCCAGTAAAACATTTTTGGCCTAGATTATAATGTTATATGAAATGTACAAAGTATCATGGAAGAAGGAAGAATTGAAATGAAAAAACTCAACACAGATTTGTATATTTGATATACAAATGCAAAGATCACAAAATCTTGAGTAATTTAATTAATCTATGAGCTACTCATAAATTAGTTTCTATATCCTGCTTTTTTAGATTTTAGGCTGAATCCTGGTCTTTGAGCTGTTATGAGGATGCAGAGAACAGTAACGCCAATAAATAGGAGTATTGACTATGAAGACAGGGGTGGCAAAGAGATTTGAAACCTCTGTTAGCAGTGTGACTTTCTTTAAAATTTCCTTCCAAGTTGTCATTGATGACCAATGAATATTCAATTCAAACTGCAATAATAATTTAATGCTGTATAACTTTGTACTCAAGACTATGTCTTACTTTAGGCAAGAGAATTCTTTTATCTTTTTGCATACAGTAGATCGGTTTTGACCTTTACTATACTTTACTGGTGTGAGAAGGGTAAATAAATGCTAGAGGTAGTTAAAGAGGGGGTACTTTTTAAGTTTTACATTTCATTGAAAATAGCAACAATATTTGTTCTGAAATTGTTTTTGTTTTTAAATTTCCTCCAGACCTTTGTAGAAAACTGCTTTTTAAGTGTTTATTGTAAAAATGATATAATTAAAAAAAATTCCATTGTTGGTTAATGTGTCACTTTTATTGATTCATCACATGTTTTATCTTCTTTTGGAAAACAAGTTAAGATAGCTGTACTTTGGAGTTCATGTAAAATTAACCTGTTTTTTGTTTTGTTTTTGTTTTAGCCACCAGAAAGGCAGATTGTGGTTGGAATATGTTCCATGGCAAAGAAATCCAAATCCAAACCAATGAAGGAAATTCTTGAACGGATCTCCTTATTTAAGTATATCACAGTAGTAGTCTTTGAAGAGGAGATTATTTTGAATGAACCAGTGGAAAACTGGCCTTTATGCGATTGTCTCATTTCTTTCCATTCTAAAGGTATTAAGGGGAGTGAGGGAGTAACTCCTTTATCCTCTCTGATTATAAAACTAATACATATTAATTATAGACTATGAGATAGAACAAAAATAATTTTTGACCCACTTTCATGGACAGGTGATATTAACATTTTGATATATTTCTTTCCAGTGTTTGTCTTCTATGTGTATTTTTAAATTTAGTGTCATAGTGTGTGTGTAATTTATATATTTAACTTTTTTCACTATTATATCAAGAAGTTTTTTCCCCCACCATATCATTCTCAGATAATGTGGGCTTTAATGGTGACATAGTATATTATTGTGTGGATATACCATAACATATTTAAATTTATCTAATAACCTAACATTTGGACAGTTTCCAATTTTCACTATTAAAAATAAGGTTGTTTGGACTCCTCACTGCATATTTTTGTTTATATCTCTAAGTTTCTTAGGATAAGTTCTTGAATTATTTTAAGCCCCTTTCTATTCTGTATAGAAAAAGGTCTATCATTCCTCATATACATATTTATACTTTATTTTTAAGAACTTAATAATTTAAGATTTTTAGATATTCCTTGCTATATTTTATTAATCAAGCTGAAATATCAATTCAGGTTAAGTATTATTTCATAGCAAAGTCCACTAATCAAAATTATTACTGAGTGTATATCTGAAAGAATCTGTGAATTAAGTGAAATTCCCACTAAGAACTATTAATTGAAAAGACGTGTTCTCAGTTGTAAATGTATTCATATTTAATCATCACTTGTTACTAAAATATGTTGTCCTGAGCTATGTTAAAGTCTTATTTCAGCGAGAAAAAGATGGAGCATGATTGTGCTACCGTAGCCTAAATTGATGTTCATTATTTTGTAGAGAAGTCAAGACACTGATCTTTACAGAATGAGGCTGCTCATTTTAGAGAACCTTAAATTTCTTCCTCCTTGAGAGTAAAGTGTTCTTCTCTTAACCTCACATGGTTCTTCCTGTAAAAGCTACATTTGCCTGTAAAACCTTGATGCTATAGCTAATGTCATATTCCATATACCATCTTTTGGTAGGGAAAAGTTTCTCTTTAATGAAAACAAAAGCAGGAAACTGCAGGTGTTTCTGTTTGCTGAATTCTTTAAGGAGGCTTCAATCATAGACATTGAGACATCTTTACAAGTGATGATTCTGAGAGTCTTTATAAAAAACTTCAAGGATTTGTTATTTGTGGATAAGTAATTCTTGATATAGGGTATCTGTATTTAAATTTTAAAAACTAAAAGAAGTTTAGGAATAAATCTTGTTTTACTGGCCACAGCTTTCTCTTTTGTTTTAATTTCAGTATGTTTTAATACTTTTTCTCTTAACTAATACTGTAAAATATAGTCTCTTCACAGATATGCTTAGTATTCTCTAGCTGCATACTAAAGTTTTGTATCCTTGCTGATTTTTGTCCTTTTCCATAGATATTTATTAAAATATTGTCTCAAGGAATAGTAACTGTGAACATTTATTGAGCACTTATGCCAGGTACTGTGCTAAGTGACTTATATACACAGTATTATTAATTCCTCAAAACTCTACTAGGTAAAACTGGTATAATACTCTTTTTTATGCTGGTGTCAGAGACTTAGAGATACTGAACAAATTTGCTCAAGGTCACATAGCTAGTGGAAGATGAAACCAGAATTTCATTGCTGTTTTATGTCCTTAACTGTTACAGTATACAACTAATGATGTGTATGATGTATAAAATTGAAGACTTTGTGTCAGTTTTTTTTTCCCCTAGAGACAGGGTCTTGCTCTGTCGACCAGGCTGGAGTGCAGTAGTACAGTCACATAGCTCACTGTAACTTCATACTTTTGGACTCAAGTGATCCTCTCACCTTATCCTCCTAAATAGATAGAACTATAGATTGTGCCACTACCCTCAGCTGATTTGTTAAATTTTTTGTAGAGATGAGATCTTGCTATGTTGCCAGGCTGGTGTTGAACTTCTAGTCTCAAGCACTCCTCCCAACTCAGCCTCTCTCAGTGCTGGGATTACAGGCAAGAGCCACTGCACCTGGCCTTGGTGCCAATATAGAAAGTAAAATATAATCATTAAAATTTTGGGGGGAGGGGTCCTGTTCTTAACCATATCTGCTATTTGATTTGTTTTCATTCTAACTAGAACTTTTACCAGTCTAGAAGTTTCAGGGAGTTAATTTCTAATATTTTAATGACCTAGCCTAGCATGATTCTGCTTATATATTTTATATTTTGAGCATATATGTCATATATAAATTAATTTTTGCTTTTGTTGCCTTCTTGTTTTTTTTGAGATGGAGTCTTGTTTTGTAGCCTAGGCTGGAGTGCAATGGCGCAGTTTCCACTCACTGCATCCTCCGCCTCCTGGTTCAAGCAATTCTCCTACCTCAGCCTCCCAAGTACCTAGGGTTACAGGCATGCATCATCACACTCAGCTAATTTTTTGTATTTTTAGTAGAGACGGGTTTCACCATGTTGGCCAGGCTGGTCTCCAACTCCTGACCTCGTGATCTGCCCGTGTTGGCCTCCTGCTGGGATTACAGGTGTGAGCCACTGTGCCTGGCCTGCTATTTTTAAAGGTACATAAGGTCCTTAGATACCAGCTAATTTATGTGTGTAGGTATCAAAATAAGTGAAAAGAAGAGATGTTAAATATATTTTTAAAAAATTACCAGGTGATTCTGATATACCCATGTTATATGTTATTTATATAGAGATTTCTCTTTGTGTATGAGGTGAATCTTACCTACTTTCAGGTGATTGACAAGTCAGACATTCACTCACATGTCAGTGCTCCAAATTTGGTTATATAACCACTGGTTGCTATGCCTTAACAATCAAATTAGGAAAAAGTAAGATTTAATATGTAAGTTAAATCAAGTTTTATGTGTATATTATTTCATAGCTTTTATAGAAGGCAGTTATATGTTAATGAAATTAATCTTTTATGGGAGGTGGCATCAATTCAAGTTAATCAAGTATAGATGTCAACTTATCTTGAGACTGTACAGAATATGTTAATAATATGTGTTCTTAGGATTTCCACTGGACAAAGCGGTTGCCTATGCAAAACTCAGGAATCCATTTGTAATCAATGACTTGAATATGCAGTATCTCATACAGGATAGGTGAGTGGTAAAGTTGACTGAATTAAGGGAAGGAAAATTAACATTTTTTTAGTACCTACGCTACGTTGACATGTCATCAGATGTTTTTGCATTATTACTTCATTGTACTTTCAAAATAATGGTCAGAATAATTATTCATTACCTAATTTTATAGATGAGGAATCTTAATAGTTAGGAAGATTGGTTAATCTACCCGAAGTCACAAGTAGTTCCCCAAGTAGTAGGACAAAGACTTAAATGAGATTGTTTACTTTCCAGAACCTTTTTTTTTTTTTTTTTTTTTTTTTTTCTGAGACAGATTTTCGCTCTTGTTACCCAGGCTGGAGTGCAATGGCGCGATCTCGGCTCACTGCAACCTCCGTCTCCTGGGTTCAAGCAATTCTCCTGCCTCAGTCTCCTGAGTAGCTGGGACTACAGGTGTGCACCACCGTGCCCCGCTAATTTTTGTATTTTTAGTAGAGACAGGGTTTCACCATGTTGACCAGGATAGTCTCGATCTCTTGACCTCGTGATCCACCTGCCTTGGCCTCCCAAAGTGCTGGGATTACAGGCTTGAGCCACCGCGCCCGGCCTCCAGAACCTTTTAAACCATTGAAAGTTAGGAGCACTTTTTCTGTCATGGGACTGATGATGAACTTAAGACTTTACTTATTATAACTAGATTTTTTTTAATGGTAAAGTATACCTGTTTTGAAAAATATTATACTGTATATCTTAGCATTCATTTAACAAGTAAAAAGCACAGATTTCTAATACATTGTAAAATGAGTATATTTAGGTATTTCATTTAATTGATATTTCACTTCAATAGTTATTATAATGTCACCAGCATTCTGTTTTTTCATGCATTACCATTACAATATGAGATTATATATGAAAATGCTTTGTAAATATGAGACCCTATGGTTTTTTCACTTTGCTATTTTTTTCTATTCTTTCAGAGAGTAACATTATTAATCTCTAAAATTTTAAACATTTTCTCTGTGTTTACATATTCATATATGTGTGTGTATATGTATATATATGTATAGTATATATATATATATATATATGCAGCTGTATAAATGTGTGTTCATTTTAAATGGTTTGAAAAGTAAAAGTTTACCGAAAGCCATTTAATCTTGTCACTATAGCTATCATATTTTTTCATACAGAAAGCAATACATGCATACGATCACATTTTACCAAATTAGAATCACTTTTCTCTAGTATGCTGTGAATGTTTCTCCCTGTCATTAAATACTATTTGAGCATAAGGTTTTTAAGGCTTAGGTCATGTTCTGTCATTGTGATATATCAACTTTAACCATTTTTAAAATACATTTTATGTTCTCAGTTTTAATAATTAGTATCTTAATAAGCTAGAAAAGAATTGCGCATAAATTTTGGTTCTCATTGCTGACCATTTCCTCAGGATACTTTTTAAAATATTTGAAATGACGTATTTGTTTATTTAAAAAATAAAAAGGGTTGATAGACATACTCTTTTTAGTTGTAGAACAGTAATAGTATCTTCTAAGAAAACTACAATAATATATTCATTGTGAAATGGACCAATAAAACAATAAGGATGTTTTCCTTTTTCTTCAGGAGAGAAGTATATAGTATTCTTCAAGCTGAAGGTATTTTACTTCCTCGTTATGCAATTTTGAACCGTGACCCAAATAATCCCAAAGGTAAGAGTAAGAGATTTTGGGTAAGCTTCCTTTGCCACTTGACGTACTTTTGGGCCACATTCTTACAATAATTAACTGGAAGGAATTTAAAGAATTTATTGTATTCCATTAAAAAAAATCTATACAGACAAACATTATATTTAATTAAAATGTGACACTGAGTTAAAAGACTACCTAATAATTTAGAAGTTATTTTTCCTTCTCTTCTTTGGCCTACCTTTGATATATCTCTAAGTAGCATGTTAGAATTTTGAAATTACATTATCAGTAAATTTGTATTGATTTAGGGTGAACAAGTGATTTATCTATGACTATTGAAGTCAGTTTTAGAAATTTCATGCTACAATGCCAAAAACTAAATATTAGCCAATTAGCCAAGAATTTTGAAAGACAGTTGGCCCTGGAACAGCATGGTTTTGAACTGTGGCAGTCTGCTTATTCCTGGAATAAACATAAATTAAAAATTCAGAATTCATGGGCCCCACGTATACTGATAGCAGACTTTTTACATGGATTCTGCAGAGCCAACTGTGGGACTTGAGTATATGAAGATTTTGGCATATGAAAGGGTTCCTGGAACCAGTCACCGGGTATACGAAGGGGCAACAGTACTTCTAAGTATTTATTAATATTTTTAAAGCACTGTTTGCTCTTTTTTTTTCTGGTTGTCTGAAACATAGCATGGAAGCTATACCTAACTTAGTTTGAAGGCGAGATACATGTTTGTCTTAGGAGTTTAATACTCTGCTCACACTTAGTATTGTGGGGAATTTTGATGAATTTATCATACCTTAAGCCATCTTTTATTAAAACTGGAGGGGGAGACAGAATGAGATAGCCAAATATACCCTGTAGTGATTATCCCCTTCCCCACAGGAACACTAAATTGAAAACTAGCCATGCAGGAAAGCACTTTCCTAAGAACAAAAAAATTACCCCACCTAAGTGGTACCTCTAGGAGTCGACAAGAGTTGTAGCTTTCCTAGGCTTAGGGCGCCCTCTAGTGCTAATGCAGCTGCAGTGACCTCAGGCTTAGATCATAACAGTCTTTTTTGAGTATGCGGAAAGCTTTCTTAAGAAGGATGGACGCAAACATGCCCAAGCTGTGAAGACTGAATTAAATACCTAACTCATAGATGCCCAGACATCAGTGAATGTCTACAAGCATCAAGAACATCCAGGAAAATGTGACCTCACCAAGCAAACGAAATAAGGTACCAGTTAACCAATTCTGAAGTGATGGACATATGTGACCTTTCAGACAGAGAATTCAAAATGGCTGTCTTGAGGAAGCTCAAGAACTTCAAGGTAACATGGAGAAGGAATCAGAATTGTATCAGAGAAATTACAACACGATTGAAATAATTTAAAACAAGCCAGAATTCTGGAACTGAAAAATTCAGTTGACAAACTGAAATGTACGTCAAAGTCTTTCAAGAGCAAAGTGGATCAAGTAGTAGAAAGAATTAGTGAACTTAAAGACTAGCTATGTGAAAATACATAGCCAGAGGAGAAAGATAGGAAAATAATGAAACACCCCTACAGGACTAAAGAGACCTTACAGAGGAGTCTGCACAAACTGCCCAGGTAGCACTTTTTCATCTTTTTAGCCCACTCCTTTCTTTGTTTTCCTTTAGGACCTTTGGGACCTACATAGTTAATAAGGGGAAGGGAAGATGGCAAAAAAAAAAAAAAAAAAAAAAAAATCTTAAAAATAGCCTTAATGGGACAAATCTAAGAATTATTGCACTTAAAGACAACTTAGAGAGATCATGGTAGAAAGTTTATTCAAAGAAACAATAATAGAACTTTCCAAACCCAAAGAAAGATATGAATATCCAGGTACAAGAAGGTCATAGAAGAATATGAAGATTTAACCCAAATAAGACTACCTCAAGGCATGTATTAATCAAACTCTCAAAGGTCAAGGATAAACAAAGGATCCTTAAAGCACCCAGAGAAAAGATGTATATAACATATAAAAGAGCTCTGATAAACTGGCAGCTAACATCTAAGCAGAAAGCGTATAGGCTAGGAGAGAGTGTGATGGCATTCAAAGTGTTGAAGGGAAAAAAAAAACAGCCTAGCATAGTCTGTTCAGCAAAATTATCCTTCAAACGTGAAGACATAATAGACTTTCCTAAACAAAAGCTGAGAGATTCATGAATACCAGTCCTATCTTACAGGAAATGCTAAAAGGAGTTCATCAATCTGATAGAAAAATACATTAACAACAAGAAAGCATCTGAATGTTTAAAACTCACTGGTAATAGTAAGTACACAGATAAATACATAATGCTCTAACACTGTAATTGTGTATAAATCTCATATATTTCAAAGGAAGACTAAAAGGCAAAAATGTCAGAAATAATTACAATAGCTTTTTAAGAGTATAGAAACATAAAAATAGTGACAATAAAAAGGGAAGGGGAATGGAGTTAAAATATAGAGTTTTAAAAATGTTCTCTTTCGTTTCTTTGTAATCAGAGTTAAGTTGTCATCAGTTTAAAATAATTGGTAATAAAATGTTACTTGTGAGCCTTATCATAATCACAGAACAAAAATCTATAATAGATACACACACACACACACACACACACATACACACACAAAGAAATTAAAACATAGTACCAGAGAGAATTACATATATACATATTTGAGATAGGGTCTTGCTCTTCACCTGTGTTGGAGTGAAGTGGTATGATCACATTTCACCGAAGTTGGAGTGAAGCGGCATAATCACGTTTCACTGTAGCCTAGACTTGCAAGTGATCCTCCCACATCAGCTTCCTGAGTAGCTGGGACTACAAGCATGAGCCACCAGGCCCAAGTAATTATTTTTTGTGGAGACAGGGTCTCACTGTGTTGCCCGGGCTGGTATCACGACTCCTTGGCTCATGTGATCCTCCTGTCTCAGACTCCCAAAGTGCTAGGGGCCATCATGCCCAGGCAGAAAATCACTTTCCCACAAAGGAAGACAGGAAGGAAGGGAGGACAAAAAAATAAAAACCTCAGAAAACAAATACCAAAATGGCAGTAGCAAGTCTTTACCTATCAGTAATAACATTGAATGTAAATGGGCTGAAGTCTTGCATCAAAAGACATAGAGTTGCTGAATGGATTAAAAAATAAAACCCAACTCTCTGTTGTCTACCTATGATCATTTCAATTGATGGAGAAAAAGCATTTCTCCATCGTTTGATAAAATTAAATATCCCTTTTTGGTAAAATCTCCTTAAAAACTGGGCATGGAAGGAACTTACCTCTATATGATAAAAGCCACGTATGACAGACTCACATCATATTGAACAGGAAAAAGGTGAAAATATTTTCTCTAAGACTTGGAACAAGACAAGGATGTTCACTTTTGTCACTTTTATTCAACATACTGCTGGAAATTACAGTCAGAGAAAGTAGGGAAGATAAGGAAATAAAGGGCATCCAAATTGAAAAGGAAGGAGTTAAATTATCCTTGTTTACAGATGATATGATCTTATATTTAGAAAATTCTACCGTCTCTACCACAAAACTATTAGAGCAAGTTCAGTAAAGTTGTAGGATACAATAGCAACATAAAAAAAATCCATAGCATTTCTATATGTGAACAGCAAATCATCTGAAAAAGAAACCAAAAAAAGTAATCCCATTTACAATAGCTACAAATAAATTAAATACCTAGGAGTTCACTTATAGAAATGAAGGAGCTCTTCTACAGTGAAAACCGTAAAATGCTGATGAAAGAAATTGAAGAGAACATGCAAAAATGGGAAGATACTTCATTTTCATAGATTGAAAGAATCAATATTGTTATAATTGCCATACTACTCAAAGCTGCCTACAGATTCAGTGCAGTCAGAATACCAAAGACATTCTCCACAGAAATAGAAAAACAATCCTAAAATTTATATGAACCACAAAAGACTCAGAATAGACCAATGGAATAGAATAGAGAATCCAGAAAAAAATACACATATTTGCAGTTAACTCATAAAGGTGACCAGAACGTCCACTGGGGAAAGGACAGTCTCTGCAGTAAGTAGTGTTGGGAAAATTTGATAGCTATCTGCAGAATGAAACTAGACCCCATGTCTCTCCATATATATAATCAAAATGGATGAAAGACTGAAATCTAAGATCTGAAACTATGCAGTTACTAGAAGAAAACATTGTAGAAACACTCCAGGATATTGGTCTGGGGAAAGATTTCTTGATTAAGTAAGGTCTCAGAAACCCAGGCAACCAAAACAAAAATATACAAATGGGATCACATCAACCTAAAAAGCTTCTCCACAACAAAGGAAATAATACAGTGAAGAGATAATCTACGCTAAGGGAAAAAATATTTGCAAACTACTCATTTGACAAGGGACTAATAACCAGAAAACATAAGAAGCTCAAACAGCTCTATGGGAAAAAAAATCTAATTAAAATACGGGCAAAAGATTTGAACAGGTGTTTCTGAAAGGAAGACATACAGATGGCCAATAGGTATATGAAAATATTCTGAACATCACCAATCATCAGAGAAATACAGATCAAAACTATAATGAAATATCATTTCATCCCAATTAAAATGGGTTTTATCAAGAAGACAAGCAATATTAACTGTTTGTGAGGATGTGGAGAAAGGGAATACTATTGGCGGGAATATAAATTACTAAAGCCACTATTGAGAACAGAATGGAGGTTCCTCAAAAAACTAAAAATAAAGCTACCATATGATCTTGCAATCCAACTTCTGGGTATATGTCCAAAAGAAAGGAGATCAGTATATTGAAGAGCTGTTTGCACTCAGGTTTATTGTAGCACCACTTGCAATAGCCAAGATAGAAACAACCTAAGCATCCATTAATGGATGGATAAAGAAAATATGGTACCTATACAAAGTGGTATTATTCAGCCATAAAGATAATGAAATACTGTTATTTGCAACAAAATGGATGGAACTGAAGGTCATTATGTTAAATAAGCCAAGCCAGAAATAAATACTGCATGTTTTCACCTGTGGGTGCTTAAAAAAAAAAAAAAAAAACGTAGAACTTGAGCTTAGAATTATTGTTACCGGAGGGAAGGATTACAAGGATAGCAATGATAGGGATACAAGGATAGGGATGAAGTGAGGATGGTTAATGAATATAAAAATATAGTTTGATAGAGTGAATAAGATCCAGTATTTGGTAGTACAAGAGAGTGACTAGTTAACAATAATTTATTTTATATTTTGAAATAGCTAATAGTGAAATTACAATGTTCCTAACACAAATAAATGATAAATATTTGAGCTGATGAATACCCCAACTATACCAATTTGATTATTGCGCATCGTATGCCTGTATCAGAATTTCACATGAAACACAAATATATATAACTATTAGGTACCCATGATGATTAAAAATAAGATTTAAAAAAGATAAAGTCATCATCATCTGAAACAGGAAACTTTTCTTGTCTCGAGGTAAAAAATTAACTTTCTAATTGGATTGTTGGCTTACTTTGCATAAGAGTTCCTTTTCTAACTTAAATAACTTAATGTTTTATAATATCTGTGATACAAATAATCCCACACAGTTTTCGGAAGATGGTGGCATGCTGGAGTTATTTTTCAGTCTTTCTTGATATAATGATTTCATGTCTAACTTTGAATTCTGTAGTGTGGTAGTGTGAAATCGTAAGTCCATAAAATTTTGAAGAACTATAGCTTTTAATGCTATATATATCATAAATTTTGGCATGCTAATTGCATAAACATATTTAATTAAAATCAAGTATATTATCCAAGTTTACTTTTCTTTATGGTCTTTTAGTAAAAAAGTCAATAATAATGTGGTGTCCTGATAATAAGAATATGTGATATTTCCTGCTATCTTGTTTGATTTATAGAATGTAATCTAATTGAAGGGGAAGATCACGTGGAAGTAAATGGGGAAGTTTTTCAAAAGCCATTTGTAGAAAAGCCAGTCAGTGCAGAAGATCACAATGTTTACATTTATTACCCAACTTCTGCTGGCGGTGGAAGTCAAAGACTCTTTAGAAAGGTAAAACGTTTGTAACTTTTGTATGAATACTCTTCTTTATACATTTTGTATAAGTGTTATTAAAAGGAATCAAGCATTTAATTGATTATTGAATTCTTGAAAATGTATCATTTAAAGGTAAATTCATAAAACTGATGTACTTTGTTAGAAAAGCATGGCATTATTTTAGTTATTTAATGTTGTTAAGCAGAATTTCTGCCTACAGAATGCCAGGAAAGTTACTTGACTTTTCTTTTCCCTCCCGTTTGTAAATCTGTCAAACTAGAAATTCACTTAAGCAATAACAGTCTTTTAGAATAATGGTCCAGAAAAATAACAGCTCATAGAAAAAGTAACACTAATAACTTTACATACATGAAAGTACACTTAATTGTACTCCCGATAAAATAAATACAAATTAAATCTAGATATAATGACGCTGTATTACTTTTTGGATTGACGAAGATAAAAAATACTGAGGTAGCTGAGAAACAAGCACAAGGCTAAACATTGTTGGCAGAAATGAAAAGTAATATAACCTCTTAGCAACATAATTTAGAAATGTATCAGAATGTAAAATGCACATATATGTATAAAAAATGATGGAAATTCAAATTAAGAACACAGTGAGATACCATTTTAACATCCATTAAAGCAGCAGATATTAAGAAGCCTAACAATAACAAGTGTAAACAAGGATATAGAACAGTAGAAACTTACACCATTGCTGATGAGACCCTACATTGTTAAAATAATTGATAAAGATTATTCATTATCTTCATAAGTTGAATATGAGCACATTCTATCACTGAGCAACTCTACTTTTATTATATACCTTAGAAACACTCATACGTGTTTGCTGTTGGGACACATAAGAATGTTGAAAGCAACGTTGTTATAATTACCAAAGCTTGGAAAACAACCTAAACATACATTGATAGGAGAATGGATGAATTCTGGTGTATTTACACAGTGGAAAATTCTAGAGTAGTAAAAATGAACAAGTTTGGAATACATGCAGCAACCTAGATGAATCCTAGGAGCATAATTAGTATTTATTGTATTTCTATGCTCTTTAATGTACATACAGTAACAATAGAGACTACTAGAGTGTTAAGTATATAGTAAGTTTTATTAAATATTTGTGGTTTTAAAAACTGTATTTGAAAATTTCTAAGATGGAAATAGGTGGTAAATAAATTATTTGTCGTTTTATCATAAAAATGAGAGAAACAATTTGCTTTTTATATCAGTGGACATCTTTCGTTTTCAGATTGGCAGTAGAAGTAGTGTTTATTCTCCAGAAAGCAATGTACGAAAAACAGGCTCATATATATATGAAGAGTTTATGCCTACAGATGGTACTGATGTTAAGGTAAGATTGATTAAATTACATTTTAATTTTATATTTCAGGCTTACCAATGATATCAGAAAAAGAAAGTAACCTTTAGCTAGATGTAGCCAACTTTTATTCTGAATCTCTTTCTTTTTGATTAGGGATTCCTCATGTTTTGTACCATGAACATCTTTGGCAGTCTGAAGCCTATTGACTCTTAAGAGTAGTGTTCTTAAATGCCTAAAACATGTAAGATTATGACGGAGACCAATTTTATTCAAATATAATAAAATATTTATTTAAAACCAACTTTGTGTTACACATAATATGTCTTTAAAGGGGCATTACATAATAAGATAATAGAGGTAAAGGTCTAATAACAACCACAGTTTCTAAGCAGTGATTAGTGTGAGGTTTTGAGATCTGTTATAACCGTGATGTGATATAAAACATGTCTGTCATTTTAGTTGGTGAAAAAAAGCTCTTAACTGCTTTACCTTCAGCCAGTCTCTCTTTACCCAGAATGTTTTCAAAAATGTAAATCTGACTATGAATCTATCCTTAAAAATTCTCTAGGGGATCCTTATTGACCACAGGATAATAACCAGATTCATAATCCTTCCATGCAAGATATTTCAGCCTGTCCTATGTTTGTCTTATAAACCTGATTTCCTACAGTATAAACTACATCTGACTACTTGCCAAAACCTGATTACATCATGCTGTTCTTGCCTCTTTCTTTTACTTTTCTTCTCTTGTCTGCACTCAAATTCATGCCCCTATCCTTTTAAAGATTTTCTTTTGGGAGTTTTTTTTTTTTTTCCCCCTATGAGTTGTATAGTTATTTGCATCTCTCATTTGTCAAACAATTTGAGGAGAGCAATCACACTGTATACTTCCAGGTATTCCCTCACAATACTCAGTATAATAGTTTTCTATAGAGAACGAAACTTCACTTTACCACTTTTGCCATATAATAATTACTTATTACCTTTCTCAATGAACTGAAAATTTGGGCTTGTAAAGTAGAAAGATGTGTCTTTCTATTAGCCTGGATTCTTAACTGTTTTTTAATGATTGTTTTTTTCACTGGATTTGTTGTCTACTAGTTACACACACACACACACACACACACACACACACACACATTTATACATTTGTTTAACATTTGTGAAAGGTTTATACAGTGGGTCCAGATTATGCTCATGCTGAAGCTCGAAAATCTCCAGCACTTGATGGCAAGGTGGAACGAGACAGTGAAGGAAAAGAAGTAAGATATCCTGTTATTCTCAATGCACGAGAGAAATTAATTGCTTGGAAAGTCTGCCTTGCTTTTAAGGTAAGATGTTATACAAGCCTATAGATCCTTATAAAGGTAAATTCTAATTTTCTTTTTTGACTAAGACATTATTGGGGCTGATAATTGGAGAAGTAAACTGAGAAAGCAATTAGTACATCTGAATGGTTCATGTACTTTTCAAGTGATTCTTGCAGTGTCACTTTATTCTTTTGTATTATATATAAGAAAACCTGGTCAATTTATTCAGAAATTAAAATTACAGAAATGACTCATCTAACCATAGAGTTTTAGGGGTATTGTCTAACATATTTTTTGAAACTGGCTTTAAGTGTTACTTTCATAGAATTGGTAAAATTTCTTTGTTGAATGATAATAGTTCTTGGTGGTCTAGCCTTGATGATTGGTTCTTTGGCCTGATATAAGATAAAAGATGTTCATGAAAGCAATATAAAAGCATTTCTTAAAAAAACTTTTTTTCTTCTGACATTTGACTAATTCTCTCAATCTGTATTGTTAGATTTCTTCCTAACTTCTATTTAAATAGAAGTAGTACAACCTTCATTTAATGAAGGATAAATATTCTGCCTTTTTGAAATCTTGCCTTAGACTAGTATATATTACTGGTTATTAAATAATAAATAATTACTTTGTGCCTTAATAACTTGAAGTGTCTTTCATGGCAGTAATGTTAGCCTATAAATAAGTTTTAATAGCTTTATAGAAATCCTTTCATTAAACCAGGATTCTGAAAGCTATGACATAAAATCGCATTGTACTCATATCTGATGATTGAACATAAAATGTAGATTAGAAAATTCTTAGAGCCTGAGTGGGAAATTCATGCTTTTTGGCCATTTTCTTCTCCCAAATAAAGTAAATTTATTACAAGTGTTCATGAATATATGGTATTGGGGATTTAAAAGATCACAGGATTTCAACGGGGGGTGGTGGCGCACACCTGTAATCCCAGCACTTTGGGGGACCAAGGCGGGTGGATCACCTGAGTCCAGGAGCTGGAGACCAGCCCTGCCAGCATAGCAAAATCCTGTCTCTACTAAAAATACAAAAATTAGCTGAATGTGATGGCACACACCTGTAATCCCAGCTACTTGGATAGCTGAGGCACAAGGATCCATTGAACCTGGGAAGTGGAGGTTGCAGTGAGCCAAGATTGTGCCACTGCACTCCAGCCTGGGTGATAGAGTGACACTCCCTCTCAAAACAAAACAAAGCAAAACAAAACAAAATAGATTACAGGAATTGCTCTAGAATATATCTTCAAAACTATTTTCCACCCTCCTTGTTTTTTTTATTTTATTAAAGTGATATAATTTCTGCTAGTGTCAAGTTGTTTTTTTGATCAAATCCTTAACAAATTTTTAATCAGATCCTTAAAAAGTTTTTGTATTTTAATCAGATCCTTAAAAAAATTTAAAAAGTTTTAAAATTAAATGTTAATTGAAGAACTTTGTGATATATTATTTTTTTGGCCTCTCTAGTCTCTTATGCGTTATTGTTCTACATCTACTTTATGGTATAAGACTTAGTCATATGGCCTCTATAACATATTTTCAGAGTACTCAAGTTACGAATAAGTAATTTCTTTCATTTCTTATTATGAAGTAGACCAATATATAGTAATATGCTTTTATGCATTTATAAAATTTGATATGTTCTGTTAGGACTGGGAAACTGTGAATCTTAATAATTTCAATGAAACTTTAAAGCTTATAACTTATTTTAAATAGCAAACAGTTTGTGGCTTTGATTTGTTGCGGGCCAATGGACAGTCCTATGTCTGTGATGTCAATGGCTTCAGTTTTGTGAAAAATTCCATGAAGTATTATGATGATTGTGCAAAAATACTTGGGTAAGAGTTTAAAAATTTTTCTTTTTACCTTCATATACTAGTTATTCAGAAATCAAATAATGGTTAACATTAAATGGTCAAGTTTTTTAAGCATTCTAGAGTAAGGATTAGTGTTCATAAAAGGACATCCCTCAGGACTATGCCAGATCCTGAATTATACTTTAGCTTATCAAAGACAGATTAATTTATGATTAGTATAGATGAAAACTTTAACTTCTTATGTTTACAAATACTATAATGTATTGATTATTAGTCAAAAGTTTGTTAGAATACCTTATTCTTCACATTTTTGCCATAAAATTATTTTTCTTCTACTTAATGATACGTAACATTCATGGAATAAATAAGCAGAGTAAAATAGAAATACTTAGAATTCATGACTCTTACGTGACAGTTCATTCTACAAGCCTATGTTACTTGATGATATTCTCTTAAGATTATCAAGTGAATGTAAAAGAAATTATTGTAGATAGAAATGCCATTTTTATATTCTTCAAACTGTTTTCTTAATACCTCGATTCAGAAGACTAGCAAGGCAATAACTATTTTTAAGACATTTTGAGGTAGATATGACAAATCCATCAGAGAGTTACATTAAAAAATGTTCGATAATTGGAGCCAGATTTTAAACAGGTCAAGTATCCTTTATCCAAAATGCCTGGGACCAGAGTGTTTTGGATTTCAGGTTTTCAGATTAAGAACATTTAACCCATAGTATGTTTCAAAGTTTTACAGACTTACCCTTAAAGTGACATTAGGGAGAGTTTGCTAAATTTTAGCATGAATAAATGCTAAATTTAAACAAAGCCAAAAAGTATTATAATTAAACATTTTTCCATTTTAACCCTATTAGTAAAGTATAATAGTGATTTGTTAAAGATGAATACAATATTTAGAGTTGCATTATAGGTGTTCAATAAACTGATAAGAACTTAGCAGTAGCCACACAAAAGAGTCAATCTTGAATTTCAGAAGGTATGTAATTAGATATGATGTAAATCATAGTTATTTCTTTGAATCCAATGTTGATTTATATCTTAAAACTGAAGTAAATAATCTCAAATTTGTGAAATCCCATTGATGTGTTTAATGCATCAATTTATAACTGCTGACATTTATTTTTTCTTAATCAGAATTGATTCTTTGGGTTATTTTTATGTGATATAATCACTAGATAGTTTAACTCTTATAATTCTCTATCATTGTCATTAAGTACCCAGTTTTGTCTTAAAAATGTACTAATTTTAAATATTTTCTTTTTTGTCTTGAAGAAATATTGTAATGCGAGAACTTGCTCCACAGTTTCACATCCCATGGTCAATACCCTTAGAAGCTGAAGATATCCCAATTGTTCCAACGACATCTGGAACTATGTAAATCTGAATTATTTTCATTTAGAAATTGAGTTTCCTTTGTTGTCTGTGCTATTAGGATGAAAATTAAATTTCTGAATGATTATTAGACACTTTACTGTGTATGATTTCATATGATACAGATCATACATGTTTATAAGGGTCCACTAATTGTTACAAATAAACTACTGAAACATGCCTGGATAATTATAGAATTATTTAATCAAGCCATAAAAATAAAGGTACCAACAGGTGTGTTACTTAAAGGTTCATAGTGGTCTTACAGCTTTTGCTCTCTCAAGTCATATCTTGCATAATTAGAACAGTATTGCCAAAATGTTTCATAAAATTCTATTAATAAAAATTATTCCTTTAAATTTATATTAGTTGACTGAATGCTTTTTATTCACAACTTAGGTATTTATATTACCATGTTAAATATTGTCAGATGTACTAATAGAGGGGGAACTAATTTTGTTTTTAATCAGTGTTTTTCATACTTATTTAACAAAAAAGTGTTCAATACAGTTTTTTCAGGTAGTTCAGTTAGTATCTTGCAGGGTTATGTTCTGCAGCTCACATCTTCGGCAAACACTAGATTATACCTCTTAATTCCAGCATACTTCTAAGATGATTTTATCTTCCAGAAATTTGAGTTTTAAATAGTTGTTCTCCTCACATGGGCAAAATTTGGCAAATACATAAATACATCATGTGAAGTTTTATTTTAATTTAATGAAGTCTCAGTCTGTAATGATCTAATGCTACAGAGCAGATATTTAATAAAGCTCAAAAATTGTAGTTCATCTACTTGTATCCCAGAGTTAATGTAGCCATTTCCAGAGAAGAAAAAGTTATATTCTATTATATAGCTTAATATCACCCCCCTCCTCCAGCTTCTTAAGTTCTTTTTAGTATTTGATTTTATTAAGACTAGATTGTTACAGTATTATTCTTCATGGGAAAGATCTTGAAATGGTAAAAGATGGCCCTAAATAAATGACTAAATTTTCATATTAATCTGAATTATACAACACAAATCTTTTTTAGAGAATTAAGAACATAATATATTTTTTCATTTTAGGATGGAACTTAGATGCGTCATAGCTGTTATACGTCATGGGGATCGAACACCAAAACAAAAAATGAAAATGGAAGTGAGGCATCAAAAGTATGTTTTAAGATAAATACTTTAACATGCATGATATAATTTTAAGATTTCTGATAAGTGGTCAACTCTTTTGATTAATACATCATATAGAAAAACTTTTATCTACCATCTCTTGGCCATTTATATTTAAACCAGTGGATGCGTACAAGCTTCATTTAAAATATGTTCATTAGTATCTAAAGTTATTGTGGCAATATTCATAAGTATCAGTCAGCTCTGGCTTTTATTTATTGTTATAAAGGTGTTCTATTTAATCTTTGCTTATCATTCTCTTGTATTGCGTTCTAAGAGTCAGTAATCCCTCAGCCCTTTAGAAGAAAATTAGTAGAATGGAAGTTTCTGTTATTTCTATCCATTGTTTGATTTGGAGATGATAAATTTTGAAAACCTGAGCCATTATGTATGTGTTGACACAAGTATTTTTCAATGTGTATGCAGTGACTTCAGAAAATATATAATATTTTGAATTAATTATATATTTGGTTTCCATGAAAAAAACTTCGAAAAGTAATACAGTGATTATTAGTTTGGTATCATTTAGGAAAGTACTAAGTTTCATCAGTCAAAGTTGAGGAGCAACATGTATAGTGAAAGAAGAAACACAGTACTTGAAATCCATGGATCCTAAGTTCTAATACCATAGGTCATCATTTATTATTTGTTAATTTAAAAATATGTTGGCAATGTTAATTATTGCAAGAGACTAACAGTGCTCTGTCTTTTTTATAAGATTTTTTGATCTTTTTGAAAAATGTGATGGATATAAATCAGGAAAATTAAAACTCAAAAAACCGAAACAGTTACAGGCGAGTATATTTGCTTTCTTGTTGAGTTTTAAGTTTTTTTAATGGTGAAATTACATAAAAATTAAATTTTTTGTTAATTTATTTTATAGGAAGTGCTAGATATTGCACGACAGCTTCTTATGGAGCTGGGGCAAAATAATGATTCTGAAATTGAAGAAAACAAGTCAAAACTTGAACAACTTAAGACTGTATTAGAGATGTGAGTAACTTTTTGAAACCGTTAATTGCAGTACTACATTACTTTCTTTTCTTTTTTATGTATGTGATTTTCCATTTTAATTGCTTTCACATTCTGATCTTTTTACTCTTTATATTACTATAGTTGGGGAGACATGAAGCAAAATCTAATATGAAAGAAATAGATAATTCTATTGAAGGTCTTAGTTTTAGTTTTATTTTTGGTGAGAAGATTAAATGAGGACATCAAACTTGTGTCTTCTGCAAGATACTGCTTAGAATCAGGGCCACATTGCTAACTTGACCACAGATTCATTGTAGTTTAAATATAAAAAATTCGAACTTTTCCTTAATCATGTAAAATGGATACCCACCAATATTCCTATTATAGCTTTACATTTTTAACCTCTTATAATCGTATTTTCTTTATTTTTAGACACATGCATCTGTATTTTTACATATTTCTGTACTTTAGCTCTTCAGAGTTGTCTTTTTTTTTTTTTTTTTTTTTTTTTTGAGACAGAGTCTTATTCTGTCACCCAGGCTGGAGTCAGTGGTACCATCTTGGCTCACTGCAACCTCTGCCTCCCAGGTTCAAATGATTCTCATGCCTCAGCCACCCAAGTAGCTGGGACTACAGGTGCATACCACCACGTCTGGCTGATTTTTGTATTTTTAATGGCGACAGGTTTTCACCATTTTGGCCAGGCTGGTCTCGAACTCCTGACCTCAAGTGATCTGCTCACCTCAGCCTCCCAAAGTGCTGGATTACAGGCATGAGCCACGACGCTCAGCCATTTAATTTTTAGAAAAATTTAATGTGGTTAGAATGATTATATATGGCATTTTTTTTTCTGCTAGAATGTTTTGAAGAATTAAACAGGCATGTATAAGTAGAAAGGAGCATTAATATTTGAGGATTAATTTTTCTCTTCATGGTCTATTCTGTTTGTCATTTTATTTTTCAGGTATGGTCATTTTTCTGGAATAAATCGTAAGGTTCAGTTGACCTATCTCCCTCATGGTTGTCCTAAAACATCTAGTGAAGAGGAGGGTATGTCATTCTTAATGCTTATACAGTAGTTTTACTTATATATAGTAACTAGCTGGTCACTGTTGATTACCTTTGGACCATCTTTTGCTTAGTAGTTTAGGGACTGGCATGGTGAGAAACATAAAGTAGAATTATCTTAGCTGTGTTTCCTTTTCTTTAAATAAAGGATAGATTTTTTTTTTTTTTAGATTACCTATTCTTTAAATAAAGGATACATTTTATTATTCTGAAAACTACATAGGACATCCCTTTAACTGTGGGATTGTTTCAGAAAATTTATGTATTTATAACTAAGTGTTATTTAATGGGCCCCTTACATCACCTTTTGTATAACTAAGTGTTATTTAATGGGCCCCTTACATCACCTTTTGTTAGAGGAGGGGCAGAGTATGTAAGAAGAAAGTTCAAGAAGAACAAAAAAACTTTGAAAAAATATACAACTAAATATATCCTGTTTCTAAAATAAATGGATATTTTCCTCCACCCAGTAAACCAGAATAAGTCTTTAAACAAGTTTAGTCTCCTAAGAACAGTCAGCATACAAGTTCATAAATGCATTTACCTTTCAAAAGAGAAGGGTAGGGATTGTGGAAGTCATTCATAGAGAAATGCAGATGGCCAATAAAATAATAATGATAATAATGATAATCTTTCTTGCCTTTCATCTTGGCAAAGTGTTTTCTTCATTTCTGTTTTAAACTGATAATAAAGACTGCTGATAAGAATTCATTGAGACAGGATTTCAGTTTACTAGTAGAATTATAAATTGGCATAGTTTTTTGAAAAGTAATTTGGCAATTTATCAAAAACTTCAAAAAATGTTCTTATGCTTTCACCTTAATTCTGCTTATCAGAATCTATCCCAAAGAAGTTATCAGATGTTCAGGGAAAGATTAATCTAGAGGGATATTCATAGTGATATTACTTATAGTAGCAAAAATTAAAATGATGATTATCTTAAATACAGACACAAATTTATGTTAATCTTTATACATTTATTTTAACATTTGATATATTGCTCTTATCACACTTCATGGCTAATAGTAATACAGGTTAATTTTCTATATCTTAATCTTTATGATCAAAAACATTCTATAAACTAACAATTTTAAAAAGTTACAACTAACTTTTCTTCCATGAAATAATATTGGTTTACATGGCCAAGCTCATAGAACTGCTAACTAGCCGCAGGGGAAGGGGTGATTTCTTCTAATAGTAATGCAGGTTAATTTTCTATATCTTAGTGTTTATGATCAAAAACATTTATAAACAAACAATTTAAAAAGTTATAACTAACTTTCCTTCCATGAAATAATATTGGTCTACATGGCCAAACTCATAGAACTGCTAACTAGCTGCTGGGAAACGGGTGATTTCTTCTCACCTTTAATGAATCATTATTTTTTTTAGTGCTTATAATGCTTATTTTTGAATTACTTCTGTTTTCAGAACTACACAGATCTTAAGACCATGAAAAGGAGTAGGACAAAATTAAGTACAGAAACTCATTAACTTACAGTATCTTCTTTGTCCAGGAAAATACTCTGATGTGGAACATGCAAAGATTCCACAATTTCAGATTTAAAAAGCTGCTCTTGATTACCTTTGTTTGCATAAAATTTATCATATTGCATAAAATTTAAATTAGAATAAATGTTAGGCCCTGTCATCTTACATCTTCCTAAAAATGATGTAAATCACCGATTTCCAATCTTAAAAGCATATATATCTGGGGCACGGTGGCTCATGCCTTATTCCCAGCCCTTTGGGAGGCCGACGTGGGTGGATCACTTGAGGTCAGGAGTTTGAGACCAGCCTGGCCAACATGGTGAAACCCCATCTCTACTAAAAGCACAGATATCAGCCAGGCACACACCACTGCACTCCAGCCTGGGTAACCAAGCAACGCTGTCCCAAAAACAAAAACAAACAAACCATACATATCTTCTTCACTTAAACTAATATATTTTCCTTTATGGGACAGCACTGCAGAAAGTGCTTGATAACAAGATAGATAAAACCTGGATTCTGGCATAAGGAGCTATTAATCCAGCAGACATAGCACAACTAAATTAAATACATTGAAGAAATTACTATGAGATCAGGAAAGGGAGAAACAATACATCTCTGAAGAAAATTGGGAGTCATTTTTCTAAAGTATGAGAGAGATTTTCAGATTTCAATAAGATTTAAACAGGTATAGCAATGGGGTATTCCTGATAGAAGCAACTGTGTATAAACAGCATTAGGGAGCATATATGCAATAGCATTTAGGGAACAAAATATTTTACATGTGATGTGGGCCATACTTCACTGCAAAAAGAGAGCACAGAGAAAAAACGAATCTTAAGACAAGTCTGTTTAAAGAAATAAACTTAACATTTGTTTTATTCATTCATATGTATTATAGATAGCCGAAGAGAAGAACCATCTTTACTTTTGGTTCTAAAATGGGGAGGTGAATTAACTCCTGCAGGCAGGGTCCAGGCTGAAGAACTTGGAAGAGCTTTCAGGTGTATGTATCCTGGAGGTCAAGGTAAATCTTAGAGTTTTCTTTAATTTGACTAATTTCATAAATTGTATTTTGAAATGCTCGTTTGTGATATCATGAAATATTTATAGAAACACAGTGAAATGAAAATATAGCTGAAGTGATTTGAGGATTTTTTTTCAGGAGATTATGCAGGATTTCCTGGTTGTGGTTTACTTAGATTACATAGCACCTACAGACATGACCTCAAAATATATGCCTCTGATGAAGGACGAGTCCAGATGACTGCAGCTGCTTTTGCAAAGGTATGAGTAATTTTTTTTTTTTTTTTTTTTTTAGAATTATTAGAGTTTCAATCTAATATTACATCTTAAAACATTTTTGGTTGGGCGCAGTGGCTTACACCTGTAATCCTACCACTTTGGGAGGCTGAGGTGGTCAGATCACTAGAGCCCAGAGTTTGAGACCAGCCTGGGCAACATAATAAAACCCTGTCTCTACAAAAAAAAAAAAAAAAAAAAAAAAAAAAAATTAATTACCTGTAGTCACAGCAGTTCAGGAGGCTGAAGTGGGAGGATCACCTAAGTCCAGGAGGTCAAGGCTGCAATGAGCCAAAATCACACCACTGCACTCTAGCCTGAGCAACAGTGTGAGACCCTTGTCTCAAAAAAACAAATTTTTTTTTTTTTTAACTAAGGCAATATTTAAAAATTCCATATTTGGAAATTTCAAGTAAAACCCTCAAATGACAGTAATGAACTATACTATTAATAAAGTTTATTTACTATAAAACTTACCTTATACTTTATGAAAATCAGTATGTAACAAAATTATTATTTTACATATTAATTTTTAAAATCTGTGTTTTCTTTATTTGATATGCTTAGGGGCTTTTAGCTTTGGAAGGAGAGCTTACACCCATTCTTGTTCAGATGGTGAAGAGTGCAAATATGAATGGTCTTTTGGATAGTGATAGTGACTCTTTGAGCAGTTGTCAGCAACGTGTGAAGGCAAGGCTTCATGAAATACTTCAGAAAGACAGAGATTTTACTGCTGAAGATTATGAAAAGGTGGGTCTTAGCAAACTCTTTTATATTGTGAAACATCACATGCAGAAAACCGAAAAGTGCATAAAACATAAATGTAGAGCTTACTGTGTTATAAAGCAAATACACATGTTATCACCCTACAGATAAAGAAATGGAACAACTCTGGCTTCTGTATGCCCCTTCCCAATTGCATCCTGTTCCCTACCTCCTCAAAAAAACTACTATCCTGACTTTTTATGTTCTTTGCATATACAGAATACTTATTTGGAGAATAAGTATAGTCTCTAGCCAGTCTATTCTTATTTTTGGCTTACTATTTTACTCTTCACATTTATCTGCAATCCAGATAAAGTTCACTTTTGTGTGTGCTATGAGCTAAAAATATCAAGGTTGATTTTTCCCCTGCAACTCTATGTATATCTGGGTATCCCAGCAGAACATACTGAAAAGACTGTTCTTTCCCCTACACAGAAGTACCATCTTTATTATATATGGGTGATCGGTTTCTGGATCCTGTATTCTGTTTGTTGATCCTCATGCCAGTGAATAATACTCCCCAACACCACCCTGGATCCTTCTTCAAGTGTTCTTGGATTTTTTTTTTTTTTTTTTTTTTTTTTTTGCATTCTTAGGTACATTTTCAAATAAGCTGGTCAAAAATACTGTTGGGATTTTTTATTTAGGTTGTGTTATACATGTAATTGGTGCAAATTTACACCTTTTTCTTTAGTCTTTCAATCTGTGAATGTAGTGTAGCTCATTTATTGAGATATTCCTTAATATCTTTAAATGTTTTATATTTTACAGCATAGAGTTCTTGCACATCTTTATTAGATTTAGGCTGAGGTGATTGATATTATGCAATTATAAATGGTACCTCTTTAAAACTTTTAAAACCATGGTTGATTAGTTTTAGTAGTCCTTTCAAAGAACCATTGTTTAGATTTGTTAGGTCTCTGAGTTACGTGCTTATTTTCCATTTGATTAATTCTCATTGCTTAATATTTTATTTCTTCTACCTCTCTATTTTTATTTTGCTGTTTTTGGATTCTTGAAATTAATAACCCTAGATGGATACTTACTAAAAGTTATTAATGTTCTGTCTTTTACAAAATATGCTCCCTAGGTTGTAAAGTTTCCTTTATGCACTCTTTTGACTGGAGTCATTTATTATATTCATAAATATAAATTTTTCCAATGGAGAAACCGTCTTAAATTCTAGGCTCACTTTCTGGATCACTGACCTTTGAGTTTTGCTTCCATAATTCTTTACTACCTTGTTGTTTCACAGATTCCTTAAAGCATAAGTATAGAAATTCTTTGCTTGAATTTTTACTTACCCTCAGTGGATGTATTAATCCAAACTACCTAGTTCATTATAACCAGAAGTAGAATTGTACTTTATATCTTTTATAATTGTAGAAACTTACTTGATGTGGTTAAATAACTAGCCAAGATAACTGTCAAAACTGGAATGTGGAACTATATTCTTATTGATGACTTTGATTCGTTGTTTAATAAATGGTGTTGGGAAAACTGGCTAGCTATATGCAGAAAGCAGAAACTGGACCCCTTCCTGACTCCATACGCTAAAATTAACTCCAGATGGATTAAAGACATAAATGTAAGACTGAACACCGTAAAAACCCTAGAAGACAACCTAGGCAAAACCATTCGTGACTAAAACACCAAAAGCATTGGCAGCAAAAGCCAAAATAGACAAATGGGATCTAATTAAACTCCAGAGCTTCTGCACAGCAAAAGAAACAATCATTAGAGTGAAGTAGCAACCAACAGAATAAGAAAAAATTTTTGCAATCTACCCATTTGACAAAGGGCTAATATCCAGAATCTACAAAGAACTAAAACAGATTTACAAGAAAAAAAAAAACCCATTCAAAGGTGAGTGAAGGACATGAACAGACACTTTTCAAAAGAAGACATATATGAGAGCAACAAGCATATGAAAAAATGCTCATCATCACTGGTCATTAGAGAAATGCAAATCAAAACTACAGTGAGATACCATCTCATGCCAGTTAGAATGGCGATCATTAAAAATCTGGAGACAACAGATGCTGGAGAGGATGTGGAGAAATAGGAACACTTTTACACTGTTGGTGGGAGTGTAAATTAGTTCAACCATTGTGGAAGACAGTGTGGCGCTTCCTCAAGGACCTAGAAATAGAAATTCCATTTGACCCAGCAATCCCATTACTGGGTATATATCCAAAGAATTATAAATAATTCTGTTATAAAGACACATGCACACGTTTATTGTGGCACTGTTAACAATAGCAAAGACCTGAAACCAACCCAAATGCCCATCAGTGGTAGACTGGACAAGGAAAATGTGGCACATATACACCATGGAATACTATGCAGCCATAAAAAAGAATGATTTTATGTTCTTTGTAGGGACGTGGAGGAATCTGGAAACCATCATTCTCAGCAAACTGACACAAGAGCAGAAAATCAAATGCCGCATGTTCTCACTCATAGGCAGGTGTTGAACAGTGAGAACACATGGACATACAGAGGGGAGCATCACACACTAGGGTCTGTTGTGGGGGAATAGGAGAGGGACAGCAGAGGGTAGGGAGGATGAGGAGGGATAACATGGGGAGAAATGCCAGGTATAGCTGATGGGGGGATGGAGGCAGCAAACCACATTGTCAAGTATGTACCTATGCAACAATCCTGCATGTTCTTCACATGTACCCCAGAACCTAAAGTGCAATTATATATATATATGACTTTAAAATAATTCATTGTAAAGGCATAATAGAATAGTGGTTAAGAGCACCAGTCTGTAGCCAGACTACCTGCATTTGAGTCCTACTCCTTCACGTCCTAGTGGTTTGTTCCTTAAGCAAGTGGCTTAACCTCAGTTCAGTAACCCATCTGGGAAAAGATATCAATAGATGCCTAGACTTATTACATGTAAATAGGTGTTAAGTGGTCAGAAGCATATTTACACATATTAAGAGTGTCAGTAGATTGTCATCAAATTCCATTAAATTAGAGTATTTCTGCTAAATTTTCTTTATGGATAATGACAGCTAAGGTTTAATGGTTTTAACGTGGGGCCAGGCGGCATGGCTCACGCCTGTACTCCCAGCACTTTGGGAGGCCAAGGCAGGTGGATCACCAGAGGTCGAGAATTCGACATCAGCCTGACCAATATGGAGAAACCCTGTCTCAAAAAAAAAAAAAAAAAAAAAGAAAGAAAGAAATGAATAACTAATATTTTTAACATAAATTCTGAATCTACTACCTTCTTGATCTTATTACTATACAGTTCACCCTTGGACAGTGTTGGGTTTAGAAATGCCAATTTCCCTCACAGTAAAAAAAAAAAAAAGGTGTATAACTTTTGACTCTTCAAAAACAACTCCCAAGTTAAGCCTGCTTTTGACTAGAAGCTTTAGCAATAACATGAACAGTCAATTAACACATACAAAGGGTCTTTAAAAAGTTACTGGAAAATGCTCATTATGAAAAATATATATATATACACAAATTTCAACACTTTTTAACACTAAAATAAACTCACATTAACTGGTTATAACATGTCTGAATGGGATTTAGTTTGAGGCACTAATAAGAGTAAAGGCTTCAGTTTGAAGAGAGTTTCTGTAAGGGCAACATGAGTTCTGCTAATATTGAAACAAGAACCAAGAGCAAATTTATGGTGAAGCTTAGTGAAAAAAAATGGGGAAATCATACTTTACAAAAAAGTTATAGGAACAATTTCCCAAAGAAATCACTAGTATACCAATGGATAACTAGTTTTAAGATAGGAGGAGATGATGTCGAAGATGAAGCCTGCAATGGCAGACCATCCACATCCATTTGCAAGGAAAAAATTAATCTTGTTCATGCCCTACTTGAAGAAGACTAACGATTAACAGCAGAAACAATAGCCAATACTGTAGACATCTCAGTTGGTTCAACTTAACACAGTTCTGACTGAAAAATTAAAATTTAGCGAATTTTCTGCTTGATTTGGAGTGCCATAACTGTTGTGCCCAGATCAGTTGTAGACAAGAGCAAAGCTTTCAATGGAAATTTTAAGCAAGTGGGATGAAGATCCTGAAGCATTTCTTTGAAGAATTGTAACAGAAGATGAAACATGGTTTTACCAGGATGACCCTGAAGACAAAGCACAATCAAAGCAATGGCGACCAAGAGGTAGAATCGGTCCAGTCAAAGCAAAAACAGACTACTCAAGAACAGAGGCCATGGCAGTGATTTTTTTGTAATGCCCAAGGCATTTCTCTTGTTGACTTTGTCGAGGGCTAAAAAGCAATAACATCTGCTTATCATGAGATTGTTTTGAGAGAGCCAAAGCATTAGCAGAAAACACCCACAAAATCTTCACTACATAGTCCTTCTCCATCATGACAATGCTCCTGCTTATTCCTCCCAACAAGGACAGTTTTGGGAGGAGATCATTAGGCATCTACCTTGTGGTCCCGATATGGCTCCTTCTGACTTCTTTTTGTTTCCTAATCTTAAAAAAAATTTAAAGGGCACTCATTTTTCTTCAGTTAATAATGTAAAAAATACCCCATTGACATGGATAAATTCCTAGGATCCTCAGTTTTTTAGGAATAGACTAATTGGACTAAATGTCTGGTATTACCGCTTATAAAAGTATCTTGACCTTGACACCTTATGTTGAGAAATAAAGTTTTTTACTTTTATTTATTTATTTATTTATTTATTTATTTATTTATTTATTTATTTTGGTATACTTTTATTTTGAATATCCAGAATATGTAACGTAAGGACCAGAGCCGCCTCCTGTACTCAATTTTATAAATTCTTGATCGGTTGGTGAGGCCAATAGGGATACTTTTGCTTGTCCAATTTGGTTTCTGGGATCATTCAAGTACTCAGGGATCATCTGTTCAAGTGGAATTAATTTCTTAATACTTCTCCATCTGTTTCTCAACCTGGCCTTTGAGAAAGACACCACTCAGCACAAGACTTCACATCTTCTATTTCTTCAGTATCCACCAGGGCAGTATATGGATCCTCTGGTAGAGGAACCTTCAGGGCATTAAAGTTCTCAAAGTCATCCACCAAGCCTGCCTTGGCCACATTGGCCTTGTAGTAAGCCCAGTCAATAGATGGTGGATTCTCAGATAAAGCAGCCACCCTGGAGGTTAGAATCTCATTCCAAGATTTCAGGGAATTAGCAGTGGCCTTTTGGTTTTGGGGTATGATCTCCCAAAATGCTATCCAGTCAATGGTTTTTAGAGCAAGTTTTTCCCCAGCCATCTTGGGATCCTTCACAGACCCCGGCTGCCCACCATCCACAGCCTACTTTTATTTTTTAATTCAATTTTTCCACATGCTTTTTGGAAGTTCCCCAGTATTTTATATTATATATTCCAGTCTTACAATAGAGTGAGCTAGAGAAAAGAAAATATTAAGAAAATTCTAGAGTGAGCTAGAGAAAAGAAAATGTTATTTAGAAAATTGGAAGGAAGAGAAAATATATTTACTATTTCCTAAGGGGAAGTGGATCATCATGGAAGTCTTTGATCTTCATCTTTATTTTCACATTAAGTAGGCTGAGAAGAAGAAGGAAGAGGAGGGGTTGGTCAGTTGTCTCAAGGGTGAAAGGAGTAAAGGAGGTGGAAGGGGAGGCAGGAGAAGCTTTGGTGTAACTTTTAGGGAAAAACCCTGCATATATGTGGTCCTACACAGTTCACATCTGTGGTGTTCAAGGGTCAGCTGTATTTTGAGGTCATTTTAATTTCTGCTATGGAATTATTCTCCAGCTGCTGGAAAGTTTTGTATGTATATGTTGTTCTCTTAGACAGTTAGGTATAACCAGATATAAAATATATACTTTGCTCATTTGTAGCTTACTCCATCTGGAAGCATTTCTGTTATCAAATCAATGCATTTAATTAAAAATCCTGTGAAGACCTGTGATAAAGTTTATTCCTTAATTCAGAGTTTGACTTCTCAAATCAGACATCGAATGGAAGATCCCAAATCATCAGGTAAATGTTCTTCTTAGAGCATAGAGCAGATAAAAGTTACTATTCAATTAAGTACCAATTAAGATTTACCAATCTTAAGAAATCAAGCCTCTCTTGAGCGTTATGTATAGTATGAGTTAATGTATAGCCAGCAAAATAATATTGGCTAAGTTATAGTGGTTTTTATCCATGACAGCATGAAAGAGAAAATAAAATATTCTCATTTGATTATCTTATTATGCAGCATTGCCATATAGTTAAACAGTAAATAGACAGGTTAATAAGAAGGAACAAGCAACAGGAAGGTGACCTGGGCTCTGGCCCCAAAGCTTACTTGGTTAATAACTTAGACAACTCTGGCATCTTGGTTTATTCTGGCAGAAAATGGATCATTTAGACTATTTTGAATGTCTGAGGTTCCTTTCTGCTAAAGATAGTTTGCCTATTCACTTAGTTATGTAAATCTAATAAAAATAGCAGTACAGAAATAGATGAGCTTAAAAGAACTTTGTTATAATTGTTGCTCTTTTTCTTCTTATTGTTATTAAAGTCTATAATATATGGAAAATATCTTTTATAACTCCACTTTCTAACCTTTTGTCTAAGTCTGTAAAAAACATGGTTGCTAATAATGTATGTCTATGGTAACTCCCTAACTTCGTACAGTTGTGTTTTTGAGACTTTAAAAAGTTTCTAATTACTAACATTTTAATATGTATTCTAAATTAGATTTTTAAGTTGCATAAACTAAAAATGTTATGTTGTTTTAGATATTCAGCTTTACCATAGTGAAACATTGGAGCTCATGCTACGTAGATGGTCCAAGTTAGAGAAAGACTTTAAAATGAAGAACGGAAGATATGATATTAGTAAAATCCCTGATATATATGACTGTATAAAATATGATGTCCAGCATAATGGTTCCTTGAAATTAGAAAACACAATGGAGTTATATAGGCTTTCGAAGGCATTAGCAGATATTGTTATCCCTCAGGTAAGTCATTCTTAAGAATCAATTTTTTTTTAATATTGAATAAATAGATACTTTAAAAATGTCTGTTCGTGGATAAAAAGGAGGTAATTGGTTTTTATGTCCTTGGAAAACCAGTAACTTTAAAGAGGAAATTATGTAATTATGAATTTATATTTTAAGCTTCTTATGGTTGTTTTAATCACATTATTTGATTTTCTAATAGTTTGATTACAGTGACTTTTTTTTGTAGACTGTATTTAATAGAGTGGCTTTAGGTTCACAGCAAAATCACACAGAAGGTACAAAGATTTCCCATATGCCCCCTGCCTCTACATAGCGTGTCCTCCCCCGATTATTATTGTCCCCCACCAGAATGGTGCATTTGTTATAACCGATGGACCTACACTGACATATCATCCAGAGTCCGTAGTCCATTAGGGTTCACTCTTGGTATTGTACATATGGGTTTTGGCAAATTTATAATGACGTGTCTGTATCATAGTAGCATAGAGAGTATTTTCACTGCCATATGAATGTAGTAGATCTTTAAAATTTAAGAATTAATACTGTTAGTAATAATATGTGAACAAACTAAACAATGGAAAGCAGTATGGAATAAATAAATTATTGAACACTGTTGTGTGTCTACCATGTATATAATGAAATACGTGGGGAGTAAGACATAAAGATAGTTATGGCCTTATGTAAAATTTTTTGCAGCTCTTTTTACTTTATGCAAAAGTATTTTGAAAATAATGTTTAGAGGTCAAGGTATACATAATTGTTCTTTTAGGGGACATGGGTCTTTTCATTATAGGAGAATAAAAATAAAGTTGTAACAAGAATCCAAATAACTAAAATGCAATTAAACAGAATTAGATTGATAATAAAGGGGTAGGTGACAAAACATATTGAGATCAGGAATATGTTAGAAGAGCACAGTTCCAGATGCTGTTTTTGTACCTTCTTTCAACTCAGTACAAGATTATTTGTATATTGTAAAGAGGAAGTTGGAGTAGATCAGATTCCAACTGTGTACTACATCAAGTTTGAAAGCCAGAAAATACAAAATACATAAAAAAAAGATTATGAAAAAAGTTCAAAAAGCCTAACTTACAAATATGTATGTATAAAAATGGTTAAAATAACAGCATCTCTTTCCTAATATTCATAGACAGTACAGGAAAAACTATAGATTTTGAAAAACTGAGAATTCAGACAGTAGTACAACTTACCTCTAGGTATGTGTATACATGTTAACAATTAGCTTGTTTCTTCAACATGAAAGAGAACTATATATTTGTTTGGTCAAATATATAATATAGACAGTTTTAGGTATTACTTTATGAATCTGTGATTTTAAAAGTTATTTTTAAAAGAAGATGAAAATATCTCAGACTTTAAGAATATGTCTTTAGGCCTTAATTACATATACTTAGGAAACAGGACTCATTCCTTCATAATTTCTTTCATTTACCAAGTAAAAAAGGTAAGTTTTATTCTGTAAAAGATAAGTTTTATTTTGCATAATAAGTTTTGGTTTTATAAGTATGCTTTTTAACAATTAGCTCTGAATATAAGACTTTAAGATTATTTATGGAGGTTATAAGCACTTTTCAAGGTAGGCTTTCAATATTTCTGAATGTATCACATGCTCAGAGGCTAAATAAATACACAATCCTTTGTCTAATGTTTAGCATAACCATGTCTGTGCCATTGCATTACTTATTTAATCTCACCCCTCTACTCTTTCCATTATATATACTAAATATTTTACAATTGGGAATGAAAAGTTGGTTTCTAAGAGTTGAGACCAAAAGAAAACTCAAGTGTTAATGGTGTTTTAGATGGTCATTTCTCCTCCTTAGATGGTATATGTATTTCATGTGTATTGTTTATATAGTTAAAGACATTTTTCACCACGTCCTTGTAACTTAAATATTTATAATGAATTTTTTAAAATATCAGAAGAAGCACTAAAGATTAGTATGTTATAAAGGAGTCATCATTTGTATCTCTCAAAGTAATTCTTAAAAGCTCAGCTGTTCTCAGTCTATTACAGTAATTCCCTTTGCTGCAATTAGGTTAGTTCTTCACGATGGTCTGAGAATTTATTTGAAGACAACTCTAAAATTATTTTTCTTGGATGAGTTATTTTTGAAATTGTTTGACTCTTCAGACAAAATTATGCCCAAGTTTACAGAAATCAGTTCTGTTTTTGGTAAATTCATAATTTTAAAAGAAGAGGTCTTTTCATATGCTTTTCTGGAGTCCTGAGATTTTTTTTGTAATTTGAGGAGAGGACAGCTTTGGGTGGTTTATCTTCCTAACTTTTTCATTTGACAATCTTTATTGTAACAGAAACTTTGGAGGTTTTTTTTTTTCAGAGTGTTGAATCAGTTCAATAAATATTATTTTGCTTTGTTACTTTAGCCCTCACAAATCTGAAAACTGTGGACAGAAGGCAGGTATTTTCAGTCACCAAAAAGATAACAATTATAAACATATTTACAGTAATTTATAATGAAATGTGATTTGTAATAAAAAATAGAATTTTGTATACATAGTTCTCAAGCAAATAAAGAGTATTTCAAGCTTCAAGACTTGACTCAGTCAAATAATATAAAATTTTAACTTGTTTAGAATAAACTAATGTAGATTAACAGGGTATCACTGTCTGTGCAAGAGAAATGTATATACATGCATTCTGGTGTACTTCAAAGTGATACTATGCCTTAAAATAACAGTTTCTACTCTTACATTGATTGATTAATTCTTATGTCTATGCTGTGTGAATTATGTAATTGCAATCATAGCTAGGCTTAAGTGATACATAGGATCTGTTTTAGTTATTTTAACAGTAAAACTAATTTTGATAGGTGTTGATGTTATAATAGAATCAAAATTTCACATGTTAACCAGGCTTAAACCTCAGAAAATTGGGTCCCTGGTTTAAAAATAATGCATTATAGCCATGATGGTATGGTGGTAAATAAAAACATTTAAAGACAAAATTTGATGTTAAAATTATCTTAATTGAGATAACACATATTAATTGAAATTTGAAGATGTTTTGTTTGGTTATCTGTAGATTATGAAATGCAAACAGTTCTTTATAGTAGCATTTGCCAAAGAAAGTTCAGTGACATTCTTATTGAAATCACCATAGAAAGTCTTTAAGTAGCTTTATCTGGTATTTTAATCAGTTCTATTTGTGGCACAAATATTGTAACTACATATGAGAACTTGGGTATCTAAAAGTTCTTTGGTCCTAGTTGATAGAGGCAGATGAGCAAATATGTCACTGTTTTGATTAGAGAGATTCCTTGATTATAAAAGTAATCTCTTTGTTATAAAACTAGAAAATACAGATAGAGCAAAAAAATTACTCTAACATTACCAACAAAAGAAAAACATGTCAATGTTTTGGAATATTCTTAAAGGCCTCTTTCCTTAAATTCATTTACATATAATTGTTTCCATAAATGCATATATATAGCAAATACATTCTTTACAAAAAACTGGATCAGAAAAGCATACTATTTTACAACCTAATTTTTTCCTTCATTTAGCCTAAAGAACTTCTTTCCATGCCATTAAAGCTATATATACATTATTATTCCTGATGGCTGAATGGTATGAATATAAGAATAATTAATTTAACTAACTCGTATTTGGAAATCTAGACTTTTAAAATTTGTTTCACTCTCTTTGCACATGTCTTTCCATTCACTCAAGACCATTTCTCTAGCTTCAGAAGCTTTAACCAATTTTTACGCAGACCAGCAGTGTATGAAAATCTATTTTCTCATACCTTGTTAATAACAAATTTTTTAAAAATTATTTCCCTGATGATTTTTTAATTCCAACATTTTTCTTTCATTTACACATAAACACACTGTTGCATATTCACTATTTAGTCGTCTACATTGGCAAAATTATCGAACTAACTTAGCTTTAGTTTAAGGTAAATCACCCCAAGAAGTTTTTTTTTTTTTTTTTTTTTTTTTTTTTTTTTTTTTTGAGACGGAGTTTCGCTCTTGTTACCCAGGCTGGAGTGCAATGACGCGATCTCGGCTCACCGCAACCTCCGCCTCCTGGGTTCAGGCAATTCTCCTGCCTCAGCCTCCTGAGTAGCTGGGATTACAGGCACGCGCCACCATGCCCAGCTAGAAGTTTTTTTTTCATAGGTCTTTCATCTGTAATCAGTCAGCATTTTCTTTATTAGGCAGTTTTGAGATCTATTGTCTATACTGATGTTATTCCATGTGAATCTTTCTGGAGGTATCTGGTATCAGGAAATAGACTTTAAGTTGAGATATCCTAGAATGAACTTGAAGAGAGAAGGTATGTGTGTTTCTTCCCTCTTCCCTGTTCTCTCTTCTTTCCCACTCTACCCCCACTTTTCTCCCTTCTATCTTTCTCCTCTTTTGCTACTTTGAACTATAATTTTCATTGTAATTACTCTTAAAATTACTATGTTTTCTGGACACTTCACATTATGCTCATTCCTTACAAATCCAATTAACTCATAATGATTATGTCATTAAATTTGATAATTTCATGGAATCTTTGCTCACCGCAAGCTAAAACTTTTAAAATATTGGCCAAAGGTTTTGAAGAATATGTCAGCCTTTTAAATCTTTGACATGTGGAAAGATAAAAATCTCAAGGTTTAATTTTTTTTTCATATATTACATATTGTGCTTTAGCGTTTGTGGCTTTATCCACATTTCTTTTTACATTTAAAACCTTCTGACATAGTGAATACTAGTCATAAAAATTACATTCATCCATTCATTCTCCCCCTTCAGAAATTAATGACTTTTGTTCAGTTCCACCACAAAATCCTTCCAATTATACTTAATAGTTTGAAAATCACACATTTGCAATTGCAAAAAATGTAAACTGGGAGTTATCCAATATTCAAAAAAGGCTTGATAAAATATTTGTCTCTCACTAGACTAATTTAGGAGTGCATTTTTTAGAGTTCTTTGTCATTATATCCTTTTTCTAATGTCATGTGTTTTCTGCTCAGGAATATGGCATAACTAAAGCTGAAAAACTGGAGATTGCCAAAGGCTACTGTACTCCTCTGGTTAGAAAAATTCGCTCAGACCTTCAGAGGACACAAGATGATGACACTGTAAATAAACTTCATCCTGTGTAAGAAACTGTACTGATTATATAAATCTCTAGGCATCTATTTTTACATACTTCAGATTTAAATTATGCCCTAATTTGATGGTCCTATGAAGTAAGGAGTATATCATTGACATACTGTGAAAATAGTATTACCTGGATATTCCTAATAACTTTCAACCTAAGTTATTTTTTGCTCCAGTTTAGAGAAAACTAAGGTGAATGGGGAAGAGGGGATATATGTAATCATTCACATGGGATCATCAATGTCCATTTAGCAGCATTAATGTCTGTGAGCATCTTTAGGTCTATGGCCTCTGTCATTGCTACTAAAGGAGGTAAAATGACCTGTTTACAGTGTACTTGACTAATATTAAATTCTTTGCTCTCAGAGGTCTTAATTAGTTAGAGTTTGCATCATGTTAGAATAATATGCACTAAGATAAATCCGCTATTGTGGTTGGAAGAATAATAATTTACTAATTATGGTCTTTTACTTCTAGTAAAATTTATTTTAGAAAATAATTTCAATATTTAGTAAGTTTTTTATTATATGGTCATGTTTCGAATTAAATGCATGTCTCCTTTTAATTTTAGGTATTCTAGAGGTGTTCTGTCTCCTGAACGTCATGTTCGTACTAGGTTATATTTTACCAGTGAAAGTCATGTACATTCTTTGCTATCTATTCTTCGCTATGGTGCCTTATGCAATGTAAGTATAATAAGTTATTTCAGTCTAACAAGTGTATTTAATTTTGTAATTAAATCACTAACTGCTATTTTTACTGTGAAATTTTAGTAATTCATTCTTAAGTTTTACTACTTAATGTCATTTTTCAAGGGACTCATATATGTATATGTGTGTGTGTATATATATATATATATATATATATATATATATATATATATATCTCAAGCATTTTGCTAGATTTTAGGGATGAAGATGTTCTCTTCAGAGAAGATCATTTAAGCAAACAATAATATAAAGTGTTTTAGGTGATTTTATAGGCTGGTGGCAGTAAAGAGAAGCCTGGTGAGTTTGAGTCATTTAGGGGTCAGAATTGATGGGACTTTGTGTTTGGTTAGACACTGTGGCACTTACCTACTATTATGTAATGACCTACCAAGACTTAGTGGCTTAAAACAGCCACAGTCATTCCATTTTTATTTTATATTGTTTAGAGGGTTTACTGGGATCAATTAGGAAGTTTCACTTAGGATCTCATGAGGTTATGGTCAGACAGTGGCTGGGACTCATTTATCTCAAGGGTTTTCTCTCCTGTTTGGTGCTTCATGTGGCTGTCAGCTGGGACCTCAGCTGCAGTTGTCGACCAGAACACCTACATCTGGCTTCTTCATGTGACCTGCTTCCTCAAAATAATGCAGCTGAGTTCCAGGAGTGAGCTTCCTAAGAGAGCAAGGTGCAAGTGCATGGCATTTTTATGACCTAACGTCTAAAATCATATAGCATCACTTCTGCTGAGCTCTCTTGGTTGAGGCAATCAGAGATTCATCCAGGTTCACAGGGAGAGGAAATACCCCACATCACTAGATGGGTTGAATGTCACTGTCATATTTTAAGAAGAGTATGTAGAATTGAATGTGTATGTCAGCCATCTTTGGAAAACACAAAATAAGCCGCAGTGATACCCATTGGCCACAATAATTCATACAAAACTCACTTAACACCTCCCTCAGTGCCACCCACTCCACTCAGTACCATGGTATAATAGGGTAATACTACTTGAAGTCCAGAATCTCATCTAAATCAATCATCTCTAAACTAGCCAAAAGATTAGAATGTTTCTTTATTTTTCTGTGCATATATTGGTATATATATCTATGCACATCAGTATACAAAGTGATCTGTAAAATAAAATTATTCAATTTTGTTTTGTTTTAAAAGAAGGGCAGTGAAATATATAGTAATGACTTGGTATATGTCTGTTTCCTAATCAATCTTATTACTGGTCCTTGAGAGTAATTATCAAAGTTACCCAAAGGCTGTTTCAAAGTTCTGTTCCAGTCAAAATTCCAAATCCATATGTTCTTTCTTTTGGTTTTTTGTTTTTTTTGTCCCACTAAAGAATAGCAAAGTAACATCCTTACATAAATATGTGGATTAGTGGGAAAAAATGACCCGTAATTAGCAAGGCAAAAGCTTATATATCCAGGAGTAATGATGGAATTGTTTGTGAGGAGGAGAGGTACATCTCTTACATGGTCCCTTTTCATATATATGGAGGGTATAAAGAGCATAAAGAATACAGGAACTGATAGTAAGCCTATGATTGGAGAATAATAGTAAGTATTGGATAAAATGACATTAGATATGGTTGAAGAGCCAGTGCCTTGTGTTCTGATTGGATTGGGAAGCCATTGAAAGGTTTTAAGCTTTGATTGTTGTGTGGAGAATAGATAGGCGAAAGTGGATATGAGGAAACCAGTTAGAAAACTATTACAATGGTCCAAAAAGATGTCATTTGGACTAGGGTGGGAGTCATGGATCTAGAGCTTGTTGAGCATATATTGAATTCAGGCTGTATTTCTAAAACAAACAAACAAAAAAAAACTGAACAACTTCGTTATTTTAAAAATCAGTGTTGCCAGGGGAAAATAATTACATGTATTTACTAAGGTGAAAATTAAAGTCTATACCAAAATGTTTTGTTTTTATTATCCCAACTTTTATTATCCTTACAAGAATCTGTAAGTAATGTAATTAAAATCTTAGTATATTCCCAGTTGTAATTTTTAGTTATTCAAAATGAACTCAGTAAAATCTTTCTGTAGAATTATTTTTAAGTTTTGTTAAGGAACTAAGATTATGAACAAGACTTCAGGACTATGTATAATGGGGCCTTAATTTTAAAAAATATTTTTGTGGCTTCTTACATATTAATTATGTTCTGAAATTTGCTATTAAATATTACTTAATTTTATCTATTTATTAGAGAAGACCTAGCAAAATCTGTAACTGCAATGTTGAGTTAGCCATTAGATGGTGTTCTTAAAACTGGAGTATCACAAAATCACAAGATCAATTATCTGTTCATCTAATGAAATTTTTCAGTATTTAAATTTACCATTTATGGTAACTTAAATTTAGTGATACTCAGTAATGCTAATTTATGTTTTTATCAGTTTTGAAAAAAATACATCTCTTCACATATTACCTTCTAAACTTGCACACATGCATGTGCACACACATGGAAGTATAATGTCTGAAATAGAAATAAAATACATGCTGAATTTTAAAAAACATACAATCAATGTGTGGTCTTATAATTTGCTTTTTAAAACAAGGCACATTCTGTGCTAAAGTCCATAATATTATATACTCTTATTGTATACAAAAAGGAAATGTTGTGCTTTTATATATTTGTAATGTAGTTATATAATATACAACAAAGGAAATTATCTGTGATGCACGTGTGGTTTAAGTAAATCTTGTTAACTGTTGACTATAGACTTTACTTTGAGTAGTTTTGCCTTTTCAGATAGAATTTTCTACTTTGAATGCTTGTAGTACATGTTCTCTAAGATCCTTTTCAGTTCTGATGCTCTATGATTACATATTTAAAGACCAATGATTCTCAGAATGAAGATGGAGGAATGGTGAAGGAGATGGTAAGATCAATAGAATTTATATATGCCTCCTCCTGCTGATTTTTGAATATCACTTCAGTGTAATTGGGATATTTATTGATAGGCCTATGTTGCATACATGAATGATACAATGGTGGGAAAAAATAGCATTCCTGTTTTAAGATAGTATTCTGTGGTTATGAATATACTAGGTGCTTTGGGACTTAACAAAAGTTAAAAACTGTCTCTTACCCTTACAATTCAGTAGTGTGTATTATATTTCAAAAAATTCTTTATTTTTTGTTTGGTATATGCAGTTAAAAAAAAAATGTTACCACTAGAACTTCTAATACAGGTTATATATCTCTTACCTGAAGTGCTTGAGATCAGAAGTTTTTTGGAATTTGGAATTGCTTTTGGATTTTGGAATATTTGCATTATACTTACTAGTTTAGCATCCCTAATCTGAAAACCCAAAATGATCCAATGAGTATTTCCTTCAAGTATCATGTTAGTGCTCAAAAAGTTTTGAATTTTGGAGCATTTTGGATTTTGGACTTTCAAATTAGGGGTATTCAAACTTGTACTGGTAAGAGATTTTAAAAATATTTTACCAAAACTAGCTTATATACGTTTCTAAGACTTTTAAATGTAGTGCAATTATTTTGAAAAAATGTACATATAATAAGTATTCACTTTATGTGGTATCATTAGGATTAAACAAGCTACCATAGTGACAATAAAGTGGCTTTTAAGTAACACAGTTTGAGAAAATGCTTATCACATATATCTTTTGTTCAGGAATCAAAGGATGAACAGTGGAAACGAGCTATGGATTATTTAAATGTCGTCAACGAGCTCAACTACATGACTCAGATTGTTATCATGCTTTATGAAGATCCTAATAAGGTAAACAGAACTCTTGATTTGTGTTTTTCTGGATATAAATAAAGAGCTTAATGTTTCTAATTTTAAAAATGTTCTGTCATATTTCTTAGGATCTTTCCTCAGAGGAACGCTTTCATGTTGAATTACACTTTAGTCCAGGAGCCAAAGGTTGTGAAGAAGACAAAAATTTACCTTCTGGCTATGGATATAGACCAGCTTCCAGAGAGGTAATGAAGGCAGAACTCTCAGTGTTTAGTTAGTATGATTCTAGATTTTCCTGAGGTTTCTGTAAGAGATTTTTTTATAATGTACTATAAATAGTTCTTATTTTAACGATTGCATAGGAAAATGGCTTAAATTCCTTAAAGTATGATTTGTATAGACCACACTTTTATGCATCTTGAAGTACTTTTGAATTTTATCCTTTGTTTAGATTGCTTGAATTTTAAGGCCAGTGTTTAGAATGAATAACCTTAAACCTTTAATTCACTGACATTGATTTTTTTGGATTTGGTACATGTGATGTGCAGTCCAGTTTTGTTTTCTTCACTTTATGAATAGCCAAGCCCCAGAATCATATATTCAAGAGTTCATTCTTTTTCTGATGCCTATAGTACTACTTCTGATACTGCAGACATGCATTGTGTCTGTATTTTGATTGGTTTCTTAACTTCTAGTCTTACTTGATTGCTCTGTTTGTCTCTCTCTCTCTACCAGTACCACAGTGTTATTTATTATAGCTTTATAATAAACATATTTGGTACAGAACTCCTCCAGTTTTGTTATTCTTAAAGATTATGTTGAATATTTCATGTTTCTCACATTTTCATGTAAATTTTGTAATCACTTTATAATATTCTAAAAAGACTCTTTGAGATTTTAATTGAGATTACATTATTACTCTGCAGATCAATTTGGAGAAAAATGATACTTTTTCAGTATTGGGTTTTCTAGTCTAAAGACTTGGTTTATTTCTGAATTTAACTTTTTTAAATAAAATCATGATTTTTTTCTTTAAAAATAATAGCAAAAACCACAATTACTTTTCACCAAATAATTGTCTTATACCATGTTTGTCAGATTAATTTCTAGTTCCTTTATAGTTTTGATGCTATCATAAATGATTTGTGTAAATTTTATTTTTGTTTATTGTCATACTGAATTTTAACTCAGTTTTGTATAAAAATGTTATAACTAGCAAACTTATAACTTGCTATATGCTGTTATTGGTTCTCATGGTTTACCCCTAGAGTCATTTGGATTTTTAATGTATATGGTCATAACATCATCTGTGAATGATGAAATGTCCAATAAAATGAATAGATTTAGTGATAGTGGACATTCTTATCTTTCAGTGTTTTATGATCCCTTCAAGTTTTACATATCCCTTATTTGATTAAAGAAGTACCTTTTTATTCTCTGTAACCCTTAATTTGATGAGAGTTTTTTGTTGTTGTTTAGTTTTTGTTGTTGTTGTTGTTTTTGAGATGTAGTCTTGCTCTGTCGACCAGGATGGAGTGCGGTGGTGCGATCTTGGCTCACTGCAGTCTCTGCCTCCCAGGATCAAGCAATTCTCCTGCCTCAGCCTTCCAGGTAGCTGGGACTACAGGTGCATGTCACCATGCCCGGCTAATTTTTTGTATTTTTTGTATTTTTAGTGGAGATAGGGTTTCACTATGTTAGCCAGGATGGTCTCGATCTCTTGACCTTGTGATCTGCCCACATTGGCCTCCCAAAGTGCTGGGATTACAGGTGTGAGCCACTGCACCTGGCCCTGATGAGAACTTTTATGTACTCAGCTTATTTTCTTTTGGCCAACATTATATTCATGAGATTCATCAATGTAGTTACATTTAGTTTTAGTTTGTCTATTTTTATTACTTTAAAATACGTGTTTTACTATATTACTATGGCCCAATGTATACAGTATCTTATAGTTGAATATTTGATATAAATTTTTTTAGCTTGCCTGTCTCCCATACTATATTGTAAGATTCTTGCAATCTGGGACTGTGTCTTATTCATCTGTGCCCTAGCACAGTTAACGGCACATGGTATATCCTTAGTAAATACTTACTGAATCATTGAATAATTGTCACATTTAATGTAGTTATCACATTTATTAGAAATATTTGGAATAGATTTAAATATTCTAAAAGTTTTCAATTTAAATGCTGTTTAGTTTATGCTCAGGTTGATGACACTCCAGTATAACAAAGCTGATCTCTATTATTTCTTACTGTCATTTATTATTATTGTTTATTTATTCTTGTACTAGATGAAATATAATTAAACTTTTAGTCTTATGTGGTTTTTTTATTTGTCATTTTACTGTTTAATTTTTCCATAGAGTGTATATAGTTTTGAACTCAGAGAGTCTGTCCTTTCCCTCATAGTACACAACATAATACTAAGCTGTTAGAAGAGTTCGATTAATGTTAATTCATCTGAGTAAACATACTTGTATATGTATTCCAAGTGCCTATACCAATGGTAGTTGAATCTGTTCATCAGAAAAGATTTTTAAAATCTGAATATTAAAAGTGTTTTATATTCTTTGCCCACAGAATGAAGGCAGGAGACCTTTTAAAATTGATAATGATGATGAACCACATACTTCTAAAAGAGATGAGGTTGATCGAGCTGTTATATTGTTTAAGCCAATGGTGTCAGAGCCAATTCATATACACAGGAAGTCCCCACTTCCAAGATCTAGGAAGATGGCCACAAATGATGTAAGTATATATATCAGAGCACATTTTTCATAAAATAAACTAACTATATTTTAATAAAACAGAAAAGAAAATACAGCTTTAATTATGGAGCTTGGGAACCCAACAAAATTTTAAATGTCATTTAATCTATTTTTTTAAATAAATTACAAAAAAATATAGAGGCAGTTCAAAAGTGGATTAGTTTTAGAATGTTGAGCTTGACATATAGTTTTTATAAAAAATTGAATGTAAATATAAAATAAGCTGTTTCTAGGAACTTGAAAAATGAATCTTTATTTTTGTCTTGTCACATTAGAAATATTTACATTAGGTTGGTCTTCAAAAAAGAAATTTTTTTAAAAGCCTGATTTAATGGATCAGGAATAATTTTAGTTAAAAGTATAGAGTAGTTGCAAGAGATTCTTTAGCAATAACTCATTCAAGTGATACTGTAGGCAAAGAAATTAAATTCTGAATTGTTAGCCTGATTGCAAAGTCTTTATAGAAATTTGAAAATTTGATAATATAATTGAAAATTTTACCTTTACATTAAGATCTATAAATAGGTTAGAATAATTCCTGTGCTCTCTAATACAAAAGCATTTAAATAATTACTAAAGTAACATTTAAAAGGAAAGTTGAGAAGTTAGAATGAATCTCATTAAATAAAGCTTTGGCACCTGTATACATTTTTTATACTTTAAGTTTTATTTGGAGTTGTCTCAGTGCTTATAACTTTTCTAAATGCTCTAGTAAAAGTATAAAGGAAGAGGGGCCAGGCACAGTAGCTTACGCTTATAATCCTAGCACTTTGGGAGGCCAAGGCAGGCAGATCACCTGAGGTGAGGAGTTCGAGAGCACCCTGGCCATCATGATGAAACCCTGTCTCTATTAAATATATAAGAATTAGCTGGGCATGGTGGTGCAGGCTTGTAATCCCAGCTACTTGGGAGGCTGAGGCAGGAGAATTGCTTGAACCTGGGAGGTGGAGGTTGCAGTGAGCCAAGATCATGCCCCTGACTGCACTCCAGCCTGGGCAACATAGCAAGACTCCATGTCAATAAATAAATAAATATAAATATATATACACATACATATATACATATGTGTGTGTGTGTGTGTATAAAGGAAGAAATTAACATACAACCATCAACTTTTAGAAAAAATAATTATTTAAATATGCCAAGTCTGAAGAATTAGTTATAACATTTTTTAGCAGTTAATGGGTAACAATGAAAACAACAAAAAGAATTGTGCTCATTTCTACAGCCCTGAATTATACAAATATATGGGTTTTATGATTCTCATATTTCAAATATATATGTGCTCCAATTTGACAATTTTGTATAGGAAAAGATCTGTCCATAAAGTACATTCTTATAACTTAATAATGGAAATTATATAGTTCTTAAGATTCCCTTCAATGTGATGTTTTAAGTTTACAAAAAAAGATGGTAAAAAAGAGGGTGTTTAACAATTATAGAACTTGAAATTTTTTTTTCTATTATAGCTTAGTGGAAAAAGTGAGACATCTGGGATTATGTTCAGGTATCCTTAATTTCAGGAAATTTGGAAAAGCTATATTAGTATAACTTACACTGCTGTTTATGTGAGGGCAGTGATTTTGATATTATTGAATAAGGAATCTATAGTTAATCAAATTATTCAGAATGTCACCATTAAATCCTCTCCTCTGCCCTCCCAAAAGCCTATATGACACTGAATACAGTAAAATGTAAGTCTTTATTTTGCAACCATCTATATTTACAAAACTTGTAACAAAATCACTGCCCTTGTTAATTTTTAAAACGCAGAACACATTTATAAACCTTTTTCTCATAAATACTTAGTTGATTTCAAGAGATTATTTCTATGCCATGCTAAACTTTTACTTCCATAAGGTAAATTACTCAAGTAAAATCTTGAAGACTTTTTCCAGCGTTCATCATCTCCATGGAGATCAGAAGTTTGTACTTCCAAAAGACACACAGAGAAAAAGACTGTTCTCTTCATTTTGTGCAAGTAGATTTTACTCTGTCCTCACTCTTCTCAAACCTGAACATGCAAACATGTAAAATGGGAATGTTTGCTGCATGTTTTGCCTACTGAATCTGTAAATAATCTCTGGAGGGGGTAAATAAATAGATAGCTTGAAAGTATAAGTAGGTAAAGTCTGAGTCCATCTTATAATCTCTGAATTTTAAAAATATGTCAGGCAGACAGATTTAGTTTTCTAAGTTAGGTATATTGAAATCTCTTTGACCCATTGCACAATTCTTTAGTGCCTTCAGTTGAAAATTCACCCAAATAGCACAAAATCTTTCGAATATATAAAATGAAGCAGGAAATCTTTATATTTTAAAAGTTGCTAAGAAAGAAACTTACTAAAATCCTTCCAGTTTTAACAGGGAAGGGACAATTATGAAATGGTATAAGTATTTTGTGTCTTTTAAGGTAATAAAATGTTTCCATAATTGTTATCACATACAATTAGATTTGTCAGTCATTCCTATCAAATTCTCAAATACTGAAATATTTGGCTCCCAATTTGCTGTTTAATAGTTTTTTTAAAAAATTAATAAGCGAATACGAACAAACTGTATTTTTTTTTCTTTCTGATCATTTGGCTCTGTTGTATCTAACTTTGCATGCTCTGCTTTTTTTTTTTTTTTTTTTTTTTTTTTTTTTTTTTTTGCCCCCTTTCTCACTTCCAGGAAGAGAGCCCCCTGAGTGTGTCTAGCCCAGAGGGTACTGGTACCTGGCTGCATTATACCAGTGGTGTGGGTACTGGGCGTCGAAGACGCAGATCAGGGGAACAAATCACTTCTTCCCCTGTCTCCCCCAAATCATTGGCTTTCACATCCAGTATTTTTGGCTCATGGCAACAGGTTTTTAAACTTTACTTCATTAAACATTTTTCCTCCCTGCATTCAGAGCAACAAACAGCTGTCTTTGAGGACATCTAATCCCTTGTATTTCACATCAGAGTAAATGCCTCTGTTTTTTAATTTTGAGTTCATTTAAAAATACTTATGATATCTGCCAATTTTACAGGGAAAGAAATCATTTACATGGCATGTGTTTAGCATCTTTGCTGAGAAGTTTCCAAATATCCAGGATTTTAAAAACAATAACTGTTATTCTCCTGGAATTTTAGCTTATTAATAAAATTATTTTAAAAGGAAAGAAATCTTTCTTTGTGACTTAGTTGTCCTTTAAAATTTCAGAAACAAAATTATTTAATTTGATTGTATGAAAATATATTAACATTTTCTTAATTGAAAAAAATAGATTCCATTTGGAATTTGCTGAGAATGTAAACATTTTTTAAAATATCAGAATTTATGTGGCCCAGTGTTAAATGGAAAGATACGTCTAATATTGATAATTTTCTTCCTCATTATTCCATTATTTGGAAATATCTAAGGAACATATACAGTCTGTTTTTCTTTGGGCTATATAATATTTTAATGTTCTCTTTAAGATAAGAGAGAAAATTGCATATGTGCCCATCAACAATATGGGTCAACATAAAATGACTTCAGAAGGACTTTCTGTGATGACATTTAGAAACTTAAAATATACATGATTTCTATTACATTGGAAGGTCTACTGTCACACATGACTTTTCTGATAATTTCAGCAATTTCCCCTCAGAAATATAATGCATTTGATGATAGGAAAAGGGATTATGGTATCCATTAAGGCTGTGAATATTTAAAGGTTACTCTGATAAAGCCCATGCATGGATCAATAATTGTATGGTAACCTCGAGAGTCTCTGTCTTCCTTTCTTTTGTTTGTGGTTGTTTTTTCCCCCCTTCAAATACAGGAGCTGTTTAAAAGTGGGCATATGGCTTCTTTTAAGAGTGAAATTATATCAATCTCTTAATTGTTTCTTTTCATCTGTCTTGTTTCATACATGATGTTTCATTCTGAATGCCTGCTTCGCACCACTTCATTGCAAGGACCTCATATGAAATGGACTCCCTTCAAAAGGGGATCTTGCATGATCTTTCATGTTTTATGTATTTCTACTAATATTTATCATACAGCTTATTAACCTTTGTCTGTCTGGAACAGGCTGCATATGAAGTATGGACTTTTGAATTTATTTTACTGTTTTACTTCATTTATTTTACATTCCTTATGCAGGTTGTATCTGAAAATGCTAATTACCTGCGAACACCGAGAACTCTTGTGGAACAGAAGCAGAATCCTACTGTAGGTATGTGGTATAAAGGAAATGTTTTTCATACCCTTTTTAAACTCACTGTTGTGCACACATGTAAAACTCTTTGGTGAAAGCATGACCAAATGCTATGCTGTAGTTTTTATTTAATGTGTACTAATTCAGAAATGTTAAGTGGTATAACTCAAAGTTTTTGATAAAGAAGAGATAGCATTTAATTTTGTTGCATAACCCTTTTGAATGCCTGCAATAATAACCACTTCATTCAATTGCCAATGCCAGTTTTTAATCTTGTACTTTGTAAGTTAATTTATGAAGGAAACTTCGTTTTCCCAGTTGATAAAGATGAAAAGATGGTATTGCATGCAAAAAGGAGCTTTCCATTTTTCTGATTAAAAATATTTTTAAAGTAGAGAATACTTCAAACCCTATATGGATATATTAATTTTCCTTTGAGCAGCTCTTAAGGAAAAGCCAAGGCAAAACTAATGCACAGTGGCAGTCTTAATCTCTATTAACCTGTAGAACATAATCGGTTCTTTGCTAACACTCAAAGCAACATTAGAAAAGACCTTTCTAAACTTATTTGGTTTAAAGCTCATGGTTGGTAAACTGTGAGATAGTGGCATATTATTTTCTGTAAATAGTTGTCTTCATAGGTTTAATAAGGCATAAATAGATCTCATTGTTAGTTTACGTATGTACCGTGATCTCTGTACTAAGTATATGAACTGTGTTGATGCCTAAATACTTGAGAAGCTCTCTTTAGTTAATTTCATATAGCTTGTAATGATAGCTTTTCATATTTCCACAGTATCTTTATATATTACTCCTTCTTATTGCTGTATCATAGTATGTTTGATAGATATTTATTTAATCCTTCCCCAGTGATGAAAGTGTTACTTGGTTTAAAGACTTTTCCTACAAATTGAGCATCAGTTTATACTGGCCGTTTTATTTGCTAGTAATGTATTTCATTAGGGGTCTTATTAACTAAGATCTTAAGTCATTTGTTAAGTATTTAAAGTGATTTAGGCCTTTATGACTGAGAAGGACCTGGTCTTCTCACAAATAAATAAGTTTTGATATACTTTATTTCATAATAAAGAGTAGTAATTTTTAATTCAGGGGCATCAGGAAAGATTTGTCATTTATAGTTATACATTAAAAAATGCTGATTTAATATGACTTAATGTATACTAGGAGATTTTTTTTTTAATATGGCTTGCCCTTGAAAAATTAACAGAATCCTTTCTTGTCCTAAGTTATTTTTGTGGCAATGTTTTTAATGCTTTCGGATGGATATGTCTCATTATTGTATGGACACTTTTTTCTCTCAAAGATAGCATTTTGTCCAATGTTAAATTGCCCCATTTGTACATATGATAAATGATAGTGGTACTTATAAGTATTGTATTAAAACTGACATCATTAGGAAATTACAAGACTATTGTGAGCCTGTTCAAGGCACTTCCAAAGGTTGCCTTATATGTGGTAAGAGCCATGTTAATTGCATGCTGCATGAATTCCCAATGTGAATGGAAGAACACCCGTTGTGTATGTATTTTCTCTAACTCCCATCAGGGTCTCACTGTGCGGGCCTGTTTAGCACCTCGGTGCTCGGGGGTTCTTCAAGCGCACCTAACCTACAGGATTATGCTCGTACTCATCGTAAAAAGCTGACCTCTTCTGGCTGCATAGATGGTATGTGCACACATGCACACACAGATTCATACCTACACCCATGCACATACCCATGAGCAGTATTTCTCAAAGGCAAATAAATCTAAGGCCACGGACTGATTGAAGTGAAATCCTGTCATCTTTTGCCTAAATGACTATCAGTGCTCTCTGTTATCTACAACTTGGATCCATGTTTCATCAGACAATTAATTTGAATTAGACTTAGAGTACTTGTACAATAAGTTCGTTGAAATGGAATACTTAGAACAGCATTATGTGTATTATTTTAGATAATTGATAGTCCATATTATAAAGAACAAATTTTTCTTTGATCTTTTAAACTTTTATTTATTGTTAATACTTATTTCACTTATTGAGCTAATTAAAGTGAATGGAACGTTTATAAGTAAAGGAAAATGTCATATTGGCAATATTTTTATAAAAATAAACATGGAATGAAAATATTTTAGGATCTCTAGCTGAAGGAGATCCTCAATGTTGTTAATATACCTTAAGTTTTAATATTCAGAATTTTTTGAGGCTCTTGGAAGTGTGTCCTTTTTATTAAGAGAAGTGGTTCTAGCTCTTTCAGGATCATCTTTATTTAAAACATTTCTCATTTATCAACAAATTTATTTTAGACAGTAAACATGGATTTGCCAGAATTGCCAGCTCATCTTGCTTTCTTTCTTTTGTATATTTCATTCGGCACTTTTTCCTCTGTCATCAAGCTAGTTAACTTCTTTTAACCAGTATTTGCCTTATTACCTTCTCTCATTGTCCCTTCTGCATGTCACCTTTCTAACCTCCTCATATATTTGTTTTTCCCCTCTTTTTTTTAAGTGTTCTTCTTTTTGTAGCTGTTACGAATTTCAGGTACCTGTTTTTCTCTTTCTCAGACGCCACACGCGGTTCTGCTGTTAAAAGGTTTTCTATCTCATTTGCTCGACACCCAACCAATGGTACGTTTTGCTTTTATTTTAAAAGATACTCCCTGCTTCATCCCTTTTTTATTTTTATTTTATTTCAAAACATGGGGTATACAGTATCATTCATTTCTTTGTCCTTAATGTCAATTGGCATTCAATTCCAACTGTTATTCACCCAAATTATTGATACTGTCTAGCTCCCTATTCAGCTGTAATTTACATAATAATTTAACATTACTCATCAAACTTTTAAATGACCACGCTGATGAGTTTTAATGCTAAAGTAATACCTAAAAATTTCTTCTAATTTATCGAATGATCAGTGTACATAAATTTTTAAATTACAATTAGTATTCTTAAATTTATCTTAATTCTCAATAACTTTTTTCTTCCTAATTCCTTTTCTGATCACATGGTTGTCTTATTTAGATATTTAAACAAAAATACAGAGCCACCTATGTCAAATAGCCAAGTAAAATGTGTCTTTGAAAAGTTCTTGGGCACCTGATGATGCATATTTCACTGTATAACATCATCTGTTTCTGGCTATTTGTCTAAAGCAAAACCCTGTTTGGTTTGGAGCACTCTGAAAACTTTGTCCAGCATTCACTTTGTTCTTGTTAGCAATGTGGTTTGCTGTTATCAAGCAACCAATTCCCTTTAGTACCACTGCTTTTTCTTAAAATTTAGAGGACTCCTGATAGGAAGAAGATTAAGTTAAGATCTAGAAACCCAACTCCGTTAAATTCCATTTTTGAGGCTAAATAGGAAAGTGTTTCATGACCGTTATTTGTAAGAGGAATTATTGCAGCATTACAGCTTCTAACATAGAGCTTGATATTGTGGGGCAAGAGGGAATATTTACTGATCATTTTACAATAATTCAGGATCAAATAATTTAAAAGAAAACTTACAGATTTGTGCTTGTATTATACATGGAATGAAGATACTTTTATCCCTGGAACTCTTTTTCTTTTTAACTGTGAATAAGTCTTTCAAAAACTCAAGTAAGATCTTTCAGAAACTTTTTAAAGCTACAGGATTCAACACAAGTTTATGGTCATTATCCCACTTCTGGATCCTTTAACAACACATCTAAATAACAATGCACTAATAATTCTTGAAGGTGGAGTAAGAAGATCTCATCCTCAACAAGTAAAAATTTAGCCTTAAAGGTTAATGTACTTTCCCTTCATTGTAGCTGTCTAAATGCTACTCTTTGAAGAAAATGATCCTTATTTGATACAGCTGCAGCTTCTAAAGAAACTATATGCCTAAGAACCTCTTAGAAGAAACACAGAAGTCACAAGAAAAACAGAAGTCACAAAAATTCCAAGAAGAGATATTGCAGGTTTAAGACCATAATTTTTGTACTGAATGCTATGTGTTTAAAGCCAGTATTTGAGGCATTATCTAGGAGAATCTGTGTTTAACTGAAGGTTTTTAAAAATGAAAAAAAAATATTTTTGTTAAATTTAATAGAAATAGAGTAATTTTATACTACTGTGGTTTAGGCTCCTTTAAAAAGTGTGGATGTTCACACATACAAATGCATATATGATGCATTCCTTTCAATTCTACAAATATTTCTTTTGAATTTTAAGGGTGCCTTTTTTCCATTTTTAATACTGTGTTGTCTTATCTGTCCTATGAATTGTCATTTGACTCTTTCACTTTTTATTTCCCCTAACTTTCATGTTATTTCCATCTTTAACACATACCACGGACTTATCCCTCCCTTCATCTTTAGTTCAAGGAACATGGTGAGACAAGTATCTTCTGACAGTGCTTTACCTTATTTTCTGGGCCTCTGTGCAGAACACCTACACCTCTATAGGTGCTGGTCCGTTTCCTCTGTGGAATTTCTAGGCTCCAGTGGTATGTTCTTATAGCTTCTAAACATGTCAGCAGGGTGGCTTTTTAAATTGCTGCACTAACCCTTTCATTGTGCATTATAGGAAAAGTTTACTAAAGATAGGTGGAAACAAATGTAGTCTAGAGGAACTTGATTATATTGTCATTTGCCTGTTATAAAATCTAGCAGGCAAATGAAATAAAATACTTGCTATAAAAGATTTATAAACTTTATGAGGAAAGAAGAAAAGAGCACGTCGTTAAGTTTAGTGTAATGCACAGAAAGGGTTTGTGCTCATTTGCATGAATCTTGTACTTCTAAAAAAAATGTAACAGTTGTGCAAGCCTAATTTCTTTAGTGCTTAATTTAGGTGCTTTAGCTGCTGTTATGGTATAGTTTTGTTTTTGTTTTTGTTTTTAAAGTATATGTAATGTTCTGTCATGCTTCGGTTTGTACCTGAAAATAAAACGTATCAATTTTTCAAGTCCTTTGCTTATTTTCCTGGGAAGGTTAGATTCCCTTTAAACCAAAGTTTCTCTATTCTAACTGAGAATTAGGCAGTTCTTGGATCAATATTTACTTGCAGTATTTAAAGAAATCAAACATCAGTCAATAAAAAATGAGCACACGTCTATTGAAGCCAAGAGTCTTGCAGTCTAAGGGTAATTTTTACTTTTAAGTTAGTGATGTTGGACTTTATGTAATACCTTATTTGAGTATTATAAGTATTTAATTGGAGGAAATTAGTTTGAATTTTTGGAAGAGCAGATTTAGAAAGACTCATTATTTTTAAAAGTATATGAAAGCAATTTTAAAAGCCATTCAGTTGAATAAAGTTTAAATAAACAGGCAATCTTCTTTTTTAAAAAAGTGAATAACCTATATCCTATCTGTTTAAAAACATAAACTGTGTGTTTAAGTGCTTTTGTTTCACTGATGGTATTAATACATATTTGCATGGTTATTTCATGAAATGTTTGTATTTCTGTGCTATTGTTGAATAGGAACATATTTGTATTTTGTATTGCTTTTTACTTGGCCTAACTTTACACAGCCAGTGATTTTAGTAATATAATTATATGTTAATTCAGTAAAGGTAGGTGAAAAACATTTTGTAATTTTAATTCCAGCATAAATGAATGAATGTTGTTTTGGGATCACACTACAGAGTATCATTGGTCTTGGCACGCCTGGAAAAGTATCCAAAATAAGTATTCACAAATAATTGTTTTTCAACAAGAAGTTACCTTTAGCATCCTGGCATCAGGGACACATCATGTGGCATCAGCTTATTCACCTACTGAATAGACCTGACTTCAAAAAATAGAAACTGAAAACTTATATTTCTTTGTTTTTTTTTCCTAGGTTTTTAAAAAGTATTATTCTTAGATTTTACCAATATAGAATGAAATTGTGTGCATGCTGTACTACATGATTACATTTAAAAAGAAATCTTTGTCACATTTTGTTCCAACTCCATATTGCATAGCATCTGGTATCATGACTTCAGAGAGATTGTGTGTTTGCATGTGATAGATTGAAAAGACCTAAACTGTCTAGTTCTAAGCAGTAGTCTTCCTTTTTAATTACTGATTTTTAAATATTCAACTTTTTTTGTTTTTGTTTTTTTCTCTTCTAGGCTTTGAATTGTATTCCATGGTGCCATCTATTTGTCCTCTAGAAACACTTCATAATGCCCTATCTTTAAAGCAAGTGGATGAATTTCTTGCTTCCATTGCTTCTCCATCATGTGACGTTCCACGGAAGACTCCTGAAATTTGTAGGAAATTTTTCTTTCATTATTATTATTTAGATGTTGGGCAACTACATACTATTTGAATATAACAGGAATTATAAAAACATAAAAGCAGGTAGTGGTAATGAGTAGGATTAGAAGTGTAGGAGGCAAAGGAGTGTAAAGGAACATGATTAGGAATTCTTTGGTGTAATGTGAAATGTACCTTTTTTTTTTTTACTCTCTACCAGAATCTTTTCTTCTTACCTAAACCAACAAACAAAACAACAACAATAGAAGTCAACAAAATATAGGAATGTGGTCTTTTCTTAAAACTATGCTTGTAGAAATCTCATATTCCTATTGTACATCATTTTATAGCAAAATTTTTTAAACTGCAAAATATCAGTTCACATTAACCCATTCATACACGCTCATCTCCTGACTACCTTTGGTAAGTAGTTAGAAAGAGCTCTTAATGAAAGAGAGCAAATTAGGACAATTTTTCAAATTGTATACCTTAGAAAACATTCTGAAGAGGTTAATTTGTGCATTTGAAGAGAAGATGTTCATGGTTAAATAAGTTTTAGAAACTGTATTATATCCCACCTCCCTTTGGAGAGGTATAGCTACATTAACATATAAAAGACTGACATTCTTCTATAAAGAAAGCTGTATAACCCAGATTTTCCAAAACTTATTTTTTAGAAAACACTTTTTTTGGTAACACATTAAATATCATGTGGCACTATTCTGAGGGACATCATTTTGGGAAATGCTCAGGGCGTCCTTTTTAGGTGTGAGAAGTCAGCTGGCAGTTGTCATGTTCAGCTCTGTAGGATTCCTCAGTACTTTGGAATTTCCAATACGGAAAGCATTCGTTTAGGGAGAGAGTGCTTTGCTTGGAGTTAAGAGTCTTACTATTCTAGTCGTATCTTAGAGAGTGACAAACTTTCTTTGAATATCATTCCTCTCTTTCTGAGTGCTGAAAATAAATTTTGCTCAAGATAAAATGAGATATTAGAGTTCTCAGAATGAATGCCACTTTTATGTCTGTCATTCCCTTCTCTTTCCTGGGCCATCACATTGTATAATTCTAGAGAGCTCTATTCCCATTATATTCTGTCCAAATGATACCTCCTGCATTTGTACGAAGTAGTGACCTTTCCCTTTTTTGATAGTAGAGGTCAGCTTTCAATCATTAATGGTGATAGAAATGTATATTGGTGAGTGTACTAAAATATTTCACTTTATGGATGGTTTTAAGAAGTAGGGCTTAATTTAAAAATGTGCATATAAATGTGTCTGATTCTGAGAATTGATAATACTCCAAATGAAATAACTTTCCAAGCAATAAAGGTCAGAGTCAGGAAAATGAAGGTGGTGTTCTCCTTTTCTATTCCCTATAACCTGATAGAATGGAAAATGCTGTTACCTCAGAATGCAGTCGAGATTCTGAATACATTCTAGTTTACCCCTTCACCCTTAATGATGTTTCATTAATCTCTGTTTTGAGATTCCAAATCCTTCCCTGTGGCAAGGATTTCAAATCTTAAAATAGAGATTAAAGAATTATTCAAATTAGTAAATAAGAATTTAGGGATAGGTATCAACACTATTAAAATTTTAGAAGACTTGCAGTGAATGGTTTGAAGTTAATAGAAGTAGTAATGACATTGTTATAAAAGGAGAATTTTAGTAGAATATTTACAAAAAGATAATATTTTAAGGTTTATTCTATGGTACTCCTGATCGTTTCATTTTTGTGGTTAGTGAATTCAGTTCATCAGAGTATATCACTGAAGTATGTTAATGAAGCAAAGGATATTAGATTCTTTTTCCAGTTGTGCTAATTTCTAATTAGCTCTTCTTTATATCATGGATACAAATTGTACCTCAGTCCCTCTAGCTTTCTTAAAATTTCATGCAATTAGTTACTGACAGAAATAGATGAGAAAGTAAATGCGCTTACTGTGGCTCATAGGATTGGATAAACCTTAGAGATAATCTAGTTCATTGATCTTCAGACTGTGTTCCCAAGAGCCTTTGAAAATTCCCTGAGGAAGAGAGGATGCTGAATGGTTAGGGCTTGTGCCTTTCATGGTGGCTTCAACCAGAGTATCTGCTTTGGTCTATTTTATTTAAGATTTCATTTAGGAATAGTTTTACTATTTAAAGGAAAAGTTGTAGAAACACATAGTTGAGGAAATCAGTGAGTTAGTGGTCAAGCAAGACTAAAACTCAGGTCTTCTAAAGCCTCTATTTTTTTATTATTATTATTTTTGAATACCAAAGAAAATAGGGTGCCAGTTATGTTGAAAGTATTTGAATCTTACATTTTATGGAATGACTATAGGAATAATATTTATTACATTATAGTATATTTATATTATTTGCAATTCTCTGAATTATCAAGGTGTAGCATCCTATACGTAGAACTATATTCATTTTATGGTGTTTATAACAAGGGAAAAGGAACTGTTAATCATTCTCTGTCTTCCAAGTTTTTTTCCTCATCTGAGACACAATTAATAAATATTGTGGTAACCAGAAGATAGCTTACAATGGGGAAGTGACAAGCTCAGATTGGAGAAAAAGGAGTAGGTTTATTAATAGGATAAGTTAGTGATGGAGGTTCATAGAGTAGGATAAAAATATGCAAGCAGGAAAGGGCTAAGTAAAGCTATATTCTTTTGTGTGATGTTTTAAGACTTTTTATCACTTAGTTTATTTTCATTAGTGACTGCTTTGAGCTCTGTCAGTTAAATGTGTAATCATTCATTATAGGGGTCAACCAGCAAAGGCACATCTGCCATAGCTAGGCCACATTTTGATTTTCAAAAGCACACTGCATCTTTCTTTGCTTAGGAATCTAGAAGCTCATGCCAGTAGTCTCTCCTTCTCCCATACTGTGGCCTGTCCTTGCCCAGAGGATTCCATACTTAAGAATTATCCGTACTTTTCCTTTTCACACCTCTTAATCTCTCCACCTTGGTTAGAAAGAGAACCGAAAAACCCAAATTTAAAATTCCCTCCCTCTCATTTAGAAAACTGGCTAATATAGGAAAATAGTATTAATTTATTACTTATAACTTATTTAGTGTATTCCTAAATATGATAGTTTAGTATACCATTATATTTGTAGATGAAACATCCCTGAATCTGTAATTATTTTTTTAAAGAAACAATTTGAGACTCTATTTTTTTCCCCCTGAGATAGTCTTGCTCTGTCACCCAGGCTGGAGTACAGTGGCACAATTATGGCACATTACAGCCTTAACCTTCCAGGCTCAAGCAGTCCTCCCACCTCAGCTTCCCAAGTAACTGGAACCACAGGCCCAACTAATTTTTTAATTTTCTATGGAAACAAGATCTCCCTGTGTTGCCCAGGCTGGTCTTGAACTCCTGGGGTCAAGCGATTCTCCTCCCTTGGCCTAACAAAATTATAAGTAATAAGTAAATCAAATTATTGTTCTGTATCAGTCAATTGAAATTTATCCTCCCAGTCCCTGGCTAGGCATGGTGGTTCATGCCTGTAATTCCAGCATGAATTACTACGCCAGGATATTACCTATTATGTTACCAGGCAAGAAAACTATGCCATCAGCTCTTTGCCATGGCTTAAAAACCTCAGTTTCTGTCAGGAAAGGATAAAGCCTGTTGCTCTATTCTTGGCATTCCTTTGGTGCATACTATTCAAATGTTTATTATTTACAGTATAAACAAAACATCTATTTGTCTGAGACCATAAGAGAACTGTTTTTTTATTTAAAAAGGTGATTTTGCTGAATTTACCTTTCAAAGCTTGCCTTGACCATTTTCTTCTCTTATTATGTAGGGTCACTAAATTATAAGAAATTTTCTATAATGTTAAGATATAATTGGTAAGAAATTGCTAGGAAATTATTAAAGTAACATGTTTGTTTATTTTTTTCAGCCTCTACAGCATTGCGTTCCAGTCCAATAATGAGAAAAAAAGTATCTTTAAATACGTATACACCTGCAAAGATCCTCCCAACACCACCAGCTACCTTAAAGAGTACTAAAGCAAGCAGCAAACCAGGTTAGGGGTGTGTATGTGTGTGTGTGTGTGTGTGTGTGTGTGTGTGTGTGTGTGTGTGAAGTTTGTGGATTTGCACAGAAATTAGAGGAGTAATAACTTGCTTTTTAAATGTTAAATTTGTTTTAATTAGGATCTTTACCCTTCCTAGAGCATAATGATCCTAAGGGTTAAAAATCTATCTTTTTAGTCTATTGATACGTATTTGGTTTTTTTCCTTGTTGTTTTCTGCTCTCCCCACATCTGTTAACGAAATATATTTCAAAATCATACTTTTCCCCAAACTAATTTGTGGACTGTCTTCTTTTGCTTTTTTTAAAATTATTATTTTTTTGAGTTTAAGGCATCATCTTACATGAAAATTTCTATGGGCGGGTCATGGTGATATACAACTGTAATCCTAGCTACTCAGGAAGTGGCAGTATAAGGATTACCTGAGTTCAGGAGTTCAAGTCCAGAGTAGGCAATATAGCAAGACCCTGTTTCAAGTATTAAAAAAAAGAAAGCAAAAAATTGTTTTCTCTTTCCTGAGACTATTTTCATCTCTCCATTCTTAATCTGATTATGTGACTACCAAATTTAAGTAACTTTTATTTTGTGGCATATTTAATTGTATTTTTTTACTCTTCAAAAATTTCATGGCACATTTAATTGTATTTTTGACCCTTCCTGAAATGCTCTCTCACCCTATTACTCTATTGTGATATTCTATCCATTTATCTTATTCCTCTACTTTTCTTGTTTGATGATCCTTCTTCTTCCTACTTTTTTATCCCAGACGAGAACATGATACTCTATTCATTTTTTTACACTATATCTTTTTTCCTCAGAGAGTTTCATATACCTGCTAGACTTTTCGACAGCCTCATTGCAAATGTCTTCATTCTTCTCTTAATGCTCTCAAATATTCTTTTGGTTAAGGGTTTATGCTTAAGAGTCAGAGGAACCTAGATTAAAATCCCAGTTCTGCTACTTATTAGCTATGTCACTCTGGACAAGTTACTTAACCTCTCTGATCCTTAGTCTCATCGTCATAAAATCAGGGTAATAGTACCTTCTTTATAAAATTCAGAAATGATTGTAATCTTAGATATAAAGTACCTGGCACAGCGCAGTAAACACTCAGTGAATGGAAACTGCTATTAATTGTTAATACTGTATCCAAACTGCTCTCTTTATTTCTCCCTAAATAAATTCCCTTAGCATTCATGCCATTTTTTTCTATTATAATGTTCTCCATTTTACTTCACATTCTTCAAGACTCAACCCAACCTCTTCCACTGAGAATGTATTAATATGATTGTCAAAACAAGAACTTCAGTAACACTCTGTGCTACTGATTTGATCTATTATAACTGATTATAGTTCCATCACATTACCAGGCCTTATAAGTCAGGGGGCAATATCTTAAACCACAAATATTACAGATTTGAACCTTGCGCATTCCAACTAATAAGTATATGAAGCAACAGACCATTGAATAGTACCTAAACGTAAGTTGTGGTGCATCCCACATGCCACACAAAGCTAACATTTGTATAGTTCTTTATATTATAAGCATTTTTCTATTAATTCTCATAGTTCTCATCATAACCTTTAGGGGTTAATACCATTCTTATGTCCATTACAGATTTTAAAAAGTAACAGAGATAGTAACTTCATCTCAGCTTACATAGCTAGTAGTCAGTAGACCTAGGATTTGAATGCATTTTGACTCCTAGTACATTGTTCTTTAGACACATAATATATGCATTAATTCGTGTACGTTTTTAAGTTATAAAGTAAAAATAGTGTTATATTTGACATTTCAAATGTTAAGTCAACTTTGCATTCCTGGGATGAACCCTACCCAGTCATAATGTATATTATATATATATGTGTGTGTGTGTGTGTGTGTGTGTGTGTGTGTGTATGAAGGTTTATAAAATTCTCTGAGGAAAAATACATAGGGTAAGAAAAATGAACAGAGTAGCATCTCACTGTCTGGGACAAGAAAGCAGGAAGAAGAAGGATCATCAGATAAAGTAGAAAGATCTGAGAGACAGAAAGAATATCATGACAGAGTAATATCTTGGAAGTCAGGGTAAGAGAGCATTTCAGTAAGGATCAACGATAAAATCAAACGTGCCAAGAAGGTAAGATAGAAAAATGTTGATAAAACATAGTTAAATATATATATATTAGTGCTGGACTGAATTTGATTTTGAGAATTTTTGCATCTGCATTGTGAAAGATAGGATATTGGTCTATAGTTTTTGTTTTGTTTCTGTTTTTGTAATGCCCTTTTTAGGATTTGGTATCAGAGGAATGCTGCTTCATAAAATAATTAGGAAGTGCTTTCTGTTTTCTGAATGAGTTTTTATAAGATTTTTCTTTCTTCCTTTAATGTTTGATAGAATTAATTTTCTATCAATTAATTTTGATAGAATTTATGTTTCCTTTTTTTTTTTTTTTTTGAGACGGAGTTTCGCTCTTGTTACCCAGGCTGTAGTGCAATGGCGCGATCTCGGCTCACCGCAACCTCCGCCTCCTGGGTTCAGGCAATTCTCCTGCCTCAGCCTCCTGAGTAGCTGGGATTACAGGCACGCACCACCATGCTCAGCTAATTTTTTTTGTATTTTTAGTACAGACGGGGTTTCACCATATGTTTCCTTTTTGTAATACTTTTAAGTTGTATTTTTTAAAGGAATTTGTTCATTATGTCTAAATTGTCAACTTTTTTACTCTTTTATTATCTTTTTAATGAATGTGGTAATAACTTCTAGTGTTCATGATACAAAGAACCAACTTTTGGCTCTTTATTTTTCTGTTGATTTTATGTTTAAAACATAATTCTTTAAAATTCTTTTTAATTAATTATTTTAATTATTTTCTACCTTCTACTTACTTTGGGTTTACTTTTACCCTCTATTTCTGGCTTCTTAGGTCATTGTTTGTTATCTATTCAAACATTTATAAAATTTTAAGTTTCCCTCTAAGCACTTTAGTTGCAGCTCACAAAAATTATGTTGTATTTTAATTATCATTCAGTTAGAAATATTTTCCAGTTTGTGATTTCTTCTTTAATCCATTGCACATTTAGAAGTATATTGGTTAAATTTCAAATATTTAGGGTTTCTTTTTAATTGTTTTTGATCAATTTCTTATTTAGTTCCATTGCAGTTATAAAAACATACACTGTGATAACAGTTTTTTAAATGTGGGACTTATTTTATGGCTTAACATCTGAAATATTTTGAATATACCATGTGTTCTTTTAAAAAAAAAAGTGTTTATCTTATAGTTTGTTGATCCTAATGGACACTATTTTGTCATTGTGCATTAGATCAAGGTTATTGATAATGTTCAGATGTTCTTTCTTTACCGTTTGGTTTTTCTTTGGCAGAGAGGTGGTCGAGGAAGGGATTGGTTGTTCTGTCAGTTGTACAGAGAGCGACTGTACTCACAACTGCAGAATTGTCTGTTCCTTTAATTTGGTAGATTTTTGCATTGTGTGTTTTGGAGGTCTCTTACTAGCTATATGCATATTTGACTATTGGATGTTCCTAATATTTTGAACTCATTTATTATCATGAATTTTTTGTCTTTAATTTCCAGTAATGCTTTGTTTTAAAGTTTATTTTACCAGACGTGATACAGCTCATCAAACTTACTATGCAAGGCATTCTAAGAATATCTACCTTATGTTTACAGTTTATAGTTCATTAACATTTAATATAATTATTGATATGTTGAGGTTCATCTACTACTTTCTTATATTTTCTATTTATTTCTTTTGATTTTACCTTTATTATAAGGTATACTTTTATTCTTTCCTACCCTACCTTATTTTATACTAATTCAATATTTTAAAGAATTTTATTTAAAATTTTCTATGGGCTTTTGCTATTTTTTTGCATTTTTTTTGGTTGCTCAAAATACGTATATCTAACTTTTCACCATCTACTTAGGGTTAATTTTGTACCATTGAAAGTTAAATGTAGAAACCTTGCAACCGTACAGATTCGTTTACCTTACCCTCTTCCCATCCTTTACACGTAGTTATCCTTATGTGTTACTTCCACATATATTATAAACACTACAATACAATGTTATGATATTTGCTTTAAACAGTCATATGTATTTTAAAGAAACTTAGAGGAGAAAAAGGTTCTATATTTATCCACATATTTGCCATATTTTTAGCTCTTTATTCCTTTCTTGAAGTCTGTGTTTCCATCTGGTTTCATTCGCCTTCAGCCTGAAGCTTTTTAACATTTCTTAATCTACAGGTCTGTTGGCAACAAATTCTATTCATTTTATTATGTCTGAAAAATGGCTTTATTTTGCCTTCATTCTTGCAGTGTAGTTTTTGCCAAATAGAGAATTCTGGGTAGAAATTTTTTTCTTTCAGTGCTTTAAATATTCCACTCTCTTCTGGTTCCCATTGTTTCTGATAAGAAGACTTAGTTAATTTGAATTACTGTTTCCGTAAATGCAATGGGTTGTTTTTCTGTGCTTGCTTTCAGTGTTTTCTCTTTACCTTTGACTTTCAGCAGGTTGACTATGGCATATTTATGTCATTTTTTGTTGTTGTTGTTCTTGTTGTTTTTTTTTTGGTAATACTCCTGGTTCATGTTTACTTTTACTTCTCCTTTTCATTCTGTTGTTAAACCCATCTAGATTTTATTTCAGACATTTTATTTCAGATATTTATTCTTTTAGATGTTCTTTTTGATTCTCTTTAATAATTTTTTTTTGCAGGGATTTCTCTTTTTATTAATTATAAACTTATGTTTCTTTGTCCTAGAGCATAGTTAGAATTGCTGCTTTAAAATTCTTGTCTGTTAATCTGACTTATCTCCAAAGTGATCTCTATAATTTATGCAAGAAAGATGTTTTTCTGTTTCTTAGTATATTAATTTTGGATTATATTGTAGACATTGTGAATGCTGTATTATAGAAACTCTGGATTTTGTTATTTCTGTTACGTTCCTCCAAAGAATATTGTTTTATTTGTTTTTAAACAAAGAGTTAGTCTTTGCTGAACTCCGATTTTAAAACATGGTGTCCCTTGAAGTGGCTGGCAGCTAAAATTTCAGTTCACTTTTTGCTTTAGCTGGGCTTCTTGGAGTTTACACTGTTCATGCCATACATTTGACCATCATTTAAACATAGAAATGTGGGATCATCCCTTTTGAGATTTTCCACCTTACTTTCCAGCAGCTGTAGTTGCCGCAATACTTGTCTTCAGCTTCTTATGTCGGAATTATAGCTATTGTATGTGACACATATTAGGGCCTGTTCTCAGGCTAAAAAGAAGGTGAATATTATTTCATATTGTTCCATTTTTCCAAGTGCTGATTCTTCTCTAGTAACAACCTGCTCTTGTTCACTACTTAGTGTCTTCAGGTAGGTGTTCCTCATATTTAGTACAGAGTGTACATTTGTTATCTGTGGGAAGGTTGTTCTGAAAGGAGCTTACCCTTACATCTATTCATCCATAGTAGAAATGTAATAATGTAATGCCAACTAGAATAGGTTTTGTTTCGTTCTGTTTTTAAGACAGGGTCTTGCTGTCTCACCCAAGCTGGACTGCAGTGGTGTAATCATGGCTTACTGCAGCCTCAACCTCCCAGGCTCAAGCAGTCCTCTCACTTCAGCCTCCTGAGTAGCTGAGACCATAGGTGTGTGCCACTACACCCAGCTAATTTTTAAAGTTTTTTGTAGAGAAGGGTAACTACAAGTCTCACTATGTTGCCAGGGCTGATCTTGAACTTCTGAGCTCAAGCGATCCTCCCACCTTGGTCCTCTAAAGTGTTAGGATTACAGGCACGAGCCACCCTCCCTGGCCATAGCTTTTTGATAACTCATTAAGCCTTCATGTTAGTTTAGATATGGAAGGATGATTCTTAAGTCAAGAGAGTTTCTAGTTTTCTTACCTTCTAGCTTTTTAGAGAGGGATAAGATAAAAGATATAGGAGGATATAGATGCTTGTAGAGAAAATGATAAGTTTGGTCTATGCATATTAAGTTTGTCTTTCTTGTCAGATATCTTTAAAGAAAGTTCCAGTTGGCAGTTGTATATACATATCTTGAGCTAAAGGAAAAGGCCCAGGCCAGAAGTATAAATTTAAAAATCATTAGTACAATGGATGGTAGTTAAAAATTATGAAAATATATTCATTTCCTAGGAAGAATGTAGAGTAAAATGAGAAATTAATTTTGTAAGCGCAGCCCATTGTCATTAGCTTTTTATGTTTGTGTTGAATTCTGAAGAGTAAAAGATTGCATTACAGTTATAACAAGAATTGTTTTGTCAACTCAGCAGTATTACTTGAACCTGGATTGTGTAAATTAAAGCAATAGTTTTTTTTGTTTGTTTTTGTTTTGTGTAGCTACAAGTGGACCTTCTAGTGCAGTTGTTCCTAATACCTCATCTCGGAAAAAGAATATAACTAGCAAAACAGAAATGCATGAACACAAAAAAAACACTGGGAAAAAGAAATGAAATTTTAGCAGAAGCTGGAACTTTTTATACTTATAAAAATAGTATGTTCATATGTTTTTCCTTATGCGTTTATGTGTTCACTTAAAAATGTTTTTAAATCTAGGGGTTTCTTTATATTCAGGTAAAGAACTTTTGTCATGATCAGGAAATGTTTAAAACAATGTTTGTTAGCATTCTGTGAGTAGCAAAACTTGTAGTGATAAAAATTGATTGTTGTTAACATAATGTTTACCATGTGCACATAGTAATGAAAAGGAACATAAAAACCCAGCCAGCTCGTACCAAAGTCACACCAGTAATGCTATGTACTGCAGAGTCTGATGAGATGGCCTTTGTGCACACTTTTATTTTCATGGGATTGCATCTTAGCTGTAAAAAACTTTTAGATTGAAATTTGACAGCCAGGGTTACATATTGGGTACTTTTAAAGTGTCTTTCCAAAGAGATTTCCATTAGAATATTTTCCGCAATTGTTACAGTGACATATATGCTGCAATATTTAACAACTGGAGTATTAGCCACATGGATTATTTTTTCAATCTGTGTTTTGAATTTTTTTATTGTGTGTTATTTAAAATATTACATATGCAGCTGGGAGAACTACACGTTTGTGCACATAGATTTATAATTTGTAGAAAATAGTTTCTTTATATTTCCTTACCGTACAAGGTGCCTTGTTTATCAGGAAAACTTTTTCTTCATATGTTGACAAAAAAGGCACCTTTAGAGTTTCTTTTTAAATATAGTTGACAAGTTTATAAATATTACGATTATTTTCAGAGTTCTTTTTAGGTCTAAAGAAATCAGTACAAAAATGGACATCATTAATGTTAGAAGAAATATGAATTCTGTTAAGCTAGTAAGCAGTATGTATAGCATCTGTTTTTAACCATTTCCATTCTTATCCCTAGTGTATTAGTTGATTACACAAGAAAGCTTAAAGATTGAGCATTTGAAATAAATGTTCTTTATAAATGATTTGATTTTGAAGGGATATTGAAATCATTGTGCTTTGATTTCACCTATGATGTGAAAAATCAATTTATTATTCTTGGTGCTTTTTCCCCTGCCTGATGCACAAATAATTGTGAACCACTTGAAATGACTTAAACTGTAATCCAAACAGGACAACCTGCTAAGAATTTCATGCATTGTTAGTTACATAACTTAAATTGCTAAAGCTTTAGCTTAAAACTTATGTCTAGAAAAATTATTGACTTCCCATAGTATAAATACAACTATTGTAATTCTTCAAAAGAGACTCCTCTCACCTTAGTCATATATGAATTAACTTGTAGGAAATAAGCATATTATATGTTATGTCTTAAAAGGTACCAGATGTAAGAGTCATAAATGTATACAATTAAAGTTCATATACTTCACACGAATGTAAATGTTATATGGAGATATGTCTTGTAAACAGTTGGAATGTATGTAAGTTTTCGGTTTGTGGAAATGTAGTTGATGTACTCACTGTGGAGGTAATAAGGAAACTACTTTTTTAAAGTGGAATCTAATTAAAATATTTTCAGAATCAAAGAGACTTCAATGGTAAATTTTTTAAATTTTCTTTTCTTATCTCTTTTTAGTTTTCAAAGTAGAAAAAGATCAGAATTTTTAAAAATAAATAGCACTTACATTATTAAATAAAATTTATTATTGGCTGTATACATAGCAATATATTACTTTCCAAACTAGAAAGTACAGTGCAACTGACTGTTTCCATTGTTACGCAACAGCTGTTACTTTACTGTAGTCACCATCAAACTCAGTAGTATTGCACTATAGACTAGAAAGTCTATATGTAAGAATCTTAGAATCATTTTCCAGATCAAATAAAAAGTCTATCATATTAGAGCAAAAGGTTATAGTTATCACTATTTAGTGGCAGTTTGACTGAAGCTTCTGCTTCTCACTTTCCTGAGAAGATGAGTGTTTTTTGGTTTTAAATACTAGAAGATAAATTCTTCTTACAGCCCAGTCCTCCAACCCAGAGAGGTGAACTAGCCCAGCATGAAGAATTGTCTAGTCACTCTTAGACATTAATCTTCCTAATATATTATTCAGTTCCTTCACCCTTAAAAGCCATATAATAAGCTCAGACCTAACTTTGCCCTTAAAGTCTAGTGCTGGCAGAATCTGCTGCCCTGGCTTAAATGAGTTACATAGTCCATTCTCAAATACTAGCAAATTGTGGGGGGGGAGGGGAGTGTACAGCAATTTTGGGTGAAGAAAAAACGTGTGCTGAACACCTTATGTCGTGTTTCCACTGAGCAAGATACAGAGGCAGTAAAGTAGCAGAAACATGTGGCAGGGTGCTTAGTATAAACATAGAGCACAAAGGCAAATAGATGGCAATTATGAGAGTAAAGTTAAGGTTCTTCAAGAAATACCCAATTAAAACGCATTAGCTAAGGAAAAAGTTTGTTTTCAGCAGGATTTCTTTTGGGTTCTGTTGACTCTGTCTGACCTGAATGTCCATTGTTAACCAGTTCCATGCCAGTTTGAACAAAGATTTCACATTTTTGTTTTGTGTTCATACTTTGGTAGAAATTTCTCAGTCTTTGTGTGGTTATAAGAGTTTGCTTTACACATAGCGTACAGTGTTTACTAACTTTACATCATTTTATCCTTGCCTTACTATCTTGATAGTGTAGACTGCCTATATTCTTGTTTAGTTGGTGTTGGGATCTCTTCTGTTAGTGTGGCCCAGCAGTTTTAGCCCCCCTTTAATTCTCTTTTCCTGGGTTGAGAGCTATCAACACAACAGAATTCTTGCCAGTGGAAACATTTTTCTATTTTAGACAAGGTCTCATTCTGTCACCCAGGCTGGAGTACAGTGGCACAATCTTAATTCAGTATCACCTCAAACTCCTGGACTCAAGAAATTTTCCTGTTTCAGCTTCCTAAGTGCTGGTACTACAGATGCATGCCACCACACTCAGCTCATGGGAACAATTTTTTCTTTTTTTTTTTTTTTTTTTTTTTTTTTTTGAGACGGAGTTTCGCTCTTGTTTCCCAGTCTGGAGTGCAATGGCTCGATCTCAGCTCACCACAACCTCTGCCTCCCAGATTCAAGAAATTCTCCTGCCTCAGCCTCCCAAGTAGCTGGGAGGCATGTGCTACTACACTGGCTAATTTTGTATTTTTAGTAGAGACAGGGTTTCTCCATGTTGGTCAGGCTGGTCTTGAACTGTAGGTCATCTGCCCACCTCAGCCTCCCAAAGTGCTGGGATTACAGAGGTGAGCCACTGCGCCTGGCCTCATGTGAACAATTTTTATACTCTTCCTGAAGGAGTAATTTGTGATAGGAGTCCAAGTAAAAACAGCTTTCCCTCTGTACATAATCATAGGTACCAAAATAATACTGTGTAAAGTGTTGTTTATATAGGTCAATTTTTGTGAAAGACCTGATTTCTATTTTCAGAGAACACCACACAGTAAAAAATCTATTTAGTATTGTTTACTATATAATTTATGTGGATTATAGCTCTTTAAACATATTGCTATGATTTTTATAAACTGCTTTTCCTTTGGTTCATGTGCTTTGTCATGGATTGTGAGAAAAATCTTTTCGCTTAGGAATTTCCGTTAATTTCTCCTTTTATTATTAATGATTTTACTTTACTTTTTATATATATTATGTGGCTAGGTTTTCTGGTACATGTAAATTCATGACTGCTAGATTTTTATTATAGGTTTTGCTTTATCATGATTAAAATGTCCTTTTTGTCCATTGGATACTTCTTTTTCTATAAATTGTCAGATACTAAGAGTATCACCTATGCTTTATTTTGGCATGTATTTGCCTGATACTCATCTTTTTATTTTTTGGTATTTGTGTCACTTTGTTTTAGGTTATTTAATATAGTATATAGTGGGTTTTGCTTTGTGATTTAATTTTAAGATTCCTTTTACTTAACAGATTAATGTAGTCTGTTTTATGTAATATAGCTTTGCTTTTAGATTATGCTTTCTGTTTTTATTGCTTTAAAAATTTTTGTCTTCCTATAACAATACTTTTCATTGCAAGTAGGAAGACTCCAATTGAAACTGGCTTAAATCATAAGAAAATTTGTTATTATACATTTCTGAAAGTCTAAAGGTGGGGTTGGCTTCAGCCACAGTTGTATTAGCCATATTGTCATCCAAAACCCAAGTGACCTCCCTGTCACCTCTGGCATAGTATAAACTTTATCCCAAAGTTGTTTTCTCTCATGTTAAAAAGATTGCTGTTAGTGGCTGTTAGGACTACATATTTTTTTGTTCATGTCCAACACAATAAAGATTGAAGGAAGTTCTCTCCCAATCCTGGAAGATTAGTATTAAACCATCTACTTCAGTGTGATTGGGCCAACTTATTTGATCATCTACTCACCCCTAGATAAATAGCATTCTCCAGGAGATTCCCATGACCTTCCTGTCCCTAGAGAAGATGATGGAGTCAGTTTCTTTGAAAAGCCTCAGCACCATTGACATTTTGGACCATATAATTCTACATCGTAGGAAACTGTTCCATGCATAGCACGATGTTTAGTAGGATCTCTGTGCCTAGCTGTGAAGTGTTAAAAGTCAGTTAAGGTAATGGTCCGAAATGAAAGTAATAATCACATCTTTATTTACTTACTATGATAAAATTATAAGCAAAAGACCAAAAAGGAAAGTAGTGCCGGCTCCTTGTTCCAGTTTCCCCCTGACCAGCACTGGACGTGGTCGATCAGATGACATGCAGTGTAGGCAGTGGAAATTGTTTCACTGCTAAGGAGCATGAACAAAAGGTTCCTGCCATATTATGGACCTCAGGGACTGCAGACAGAGAGCGAGGAAGGGCTAGGAGTAGAAAAGAGCTGAGAGTGGAGATGAGTGTCTCAGTCAAAATCCACCGATAGGGAGGTCTCTGTAGAGGTAACTGAAAAGTGTCTCAACCAAGGCCCCCTGATAAGGAAGACTCAGCATGGAGGTATCTGGTCTAGGAATGCAGCTAGGTTTATGAGCATGGCCAGCCCAGAGGACCCTGAGCCCTAGCTACAACTCCCTCCAGAGACTGGGTGTGTTCTAAATCTCATGTGAGGAGGGCAGATTTCCTCTATGAAGCCTTTGTAATTGCTATGATTAGGCCTGAAAGATCACACAGCAGACTTCGGCCTGGAACATATCTCTTCACCCTAAATGCCAGCGGCATCCCCTCCAAACCATGGCAGTCAAAAATGTCTCCAGACATCACTAAATGTTCTTTGTGAGGGAAGAATTGACCTTAGTTAAGAACCACTGTCCTAAAGCACATGATTCTGTAGAAAAAATGATACATGACCATTTTGGTAGGAAAAAAGTGGGCATGGATAATGGATACATAATCAGCAATGTACACTATACACTACACTTTCATTATGTTATTCACATTTGTTGTAGGTCGCTTGTTCTGCTAGTGATTTTCTCCTTAACTACAATTTTGAATTATATTTTATTTAATTATATTGTATTTATTTTTTTAGGTGCTGTTGATTCCTTGCTGTGAACAATATCCAATTCGTATATTTTTTTCTCTACTGCATAGTTTTAGTCGATTACTTTTTCCTTTTCATTTCTTTTCTGAACTCTTAGCTTATGTTGCATTTCCTTTGGTTGTTTTGCCATGGTATATCTGGTCAACTAAATTTCTTTATGAACTGTATTTCCTTAAGTTTTTTGAGTTAAACAAAATACTTCGTCACATTTTTCATGTGCTCAGTTGATTTGTTCTTTTCTGTTGAGTGGTTTTTATCTGCTAATTGTTTCTACTGTTCCATTTCTTTTTTTCTTGGAATGTTTGTGCATGAACACTATGCAGGTTTACTCTCAATTATTATTTATCTTTATATGAGATACATTTCTTTCTGGCTCATCTATTTGATACAATTTCTTTTTATATATATATATACAATTTGATATGGTAGGTAGGTTGGCATATTAAGTTCACACAATCCTCCCAAGGTGACAGTGAATCTCCTTATGACAGGATTGTGGGCCTGAGAGAGCTGTTGTAGCCTTTTATTCTCTTGAGTCAACAAAGATTGGCAACTAACTGCAGGGCTACCACCTTTGGAGTCTTTTTCCTCCTGTCTGCCATCTACAGACTGCTGCTTGTCAATGTGACATGCATGCATTTCCTTCTTTGGCTTTGCCCCTCCTGCCACTGTACCAGACAGTGTCCAGGAAATCCTCTACTACTGGCGCTTATCCCATTTCCATTGTTATAAAGAGGAAACTGGGGTTTTTTTTTTTTTTCTGCCTTATATTATGTCATCTATTTTGGAGTATTTTGGTCTAATGACTTTGGCTGCGATCTGGAGCTATTTGACATTTACTGCACTGGGCAGTTCTATCTCCTATTTGGTGGTTTTGTTGAAGATAGTTTATGTTTATCTTCATATTTGGTGATAATTCTTTAAATTAAGACCTGATTTCTCCTTCCTTTTCAAACTGGATGTCATCTCTTTTGTGGTTAATATTCTTTGACAAGAAAGAAGAGGAGAAGGACAAAGTACAAAAGAAGCCTGCCCCTCT